TGGAAAATTTCAAGAAGTAGAGGGAATAGCATACTAAGCCCTGTGTTCCCATCTTTGAGTTATCTACATTTCATTACCAGTATCTTTGGGGTGCCTGAGGGAGGTTTCTCTTTCCTGGAGGGCTCCTGCATTATTGCCAACGTATTTTCCTGACTGCGGTCAGAAACTGAGGCCCCCTCCTACCTATGTACCCTTCTATCCCTCTCTGAAGCTTCTGTAGAATTCCCAGCATGACAGAGCTTGCTGGAAGCATGGTATGCTCAGAAGCTGCTGCTAAAGCATGTGTGTGAGGGGGCGGGGGCAAACTTCTTGGTCCTGGCACTTCCATATATCGATTTTCTTTTCTGGCTGATTAGTGGGAGGAGTGTGTGTGTATGCATGTGTGTGTGTGTGTGTGTGCGCACGCGTGTGTGGGTACATGCATGTGTGTGTGGATGCATGCATGTGCTGTGAAGCAGGGAGACCAGCTTTCCACTCCTTCTTGTTTTCTCTCTGCAGTGACCTGGGAGCTGTCATTTCCCTCCTGCTCTGGGGACGACAGCTTTTTGCATTGCACTCAGGCAATGATGTCACGGATATCCCAGGTCAGTCTTTGGTTGGGTAGGAGCATGCATCCCTGGCACTGCCGCATCCCACTCTTACCCTCTCGGGTCTGCATTCTTTCTTTGAGAGAAGAAAGTTTCCCCTTCTTATCCTGACCTCTGAGCTTTCAGGACTGCCAGGAACATTAGGGTTCCTGCCAGAAATGAGGGGAGCGTGCACTTCTGTTGGCTTCTATTTGGGGCAGAAGGAGATTGATGTGCAGAGCAGCTTCCTCTCACGTGATTTTTCTTTTTTTTTTTTTTTTTGAGACGGAGTCTCGCTCTGTCGCCCAGGCTGGAGTACAGTGGCACGATCTCGGCTCACTTCAAGCTCCACCTCCCGGGTTCATGACATTCTCCTGCCTCAGCCTCCCGAGTAGCTGGGACTACAGGCGCCTGCCACCACGCCCGGCTAATTTTCTTGTATTTTTAATAGAGATGGGGTTTCACCGTATTAGCCAGGATGGTCTCGACCACCTGACCTCGTGATCCACCCACCTCGGCCTCCCAAAGTGCTGGGATTACAGGCTTGAGCCACCGCGCCCGGCCTCATCTGATTTTTCATAGGTCTCTGGGAACAATTTCCAAATAGTAAACTCTCTTGCTTCTCTCTCTTTGCAGATGACAGCTTCCTGAAGCCCCCTATGATCGCAAATGGCTACGTGGAGCACTTGGTTCACTACCAGTGTAAGAACTACTACAGGCTGCGCACAGAAGGAGATGGTAAGACGTGGACAACTGTCTCTCTGTGCCCTACATACAACCCGTGCTCTGACATTTCCATGATGGGCGGTGCTGGGGTGATTCACCAGAAAGTTCATTGCTCTCCTTGGAGCCAGGAGATTTAGATTCTAATAAGTGTTTTGTTGTCAGTAGCTGTGGCCCTTTGGGCAGATGAACTTTTGTCAGCCTCAAGTTTTCTGTTTTGTTAAGGGGAGGCCATGCCATGCAGCCTACTTATCTCAGAGTCAGATTTCCATCTCCAGCGGGAGATGTGGGAAAAGGAGGAACGCTGATGATGCCAGGTGACCCTTACCTAGTGAGTCCTGCTGTCCTGGCACTGCTCTAAGTGCTTCATATTTATTTGCTCACTTAGTCCTCACAGTACCCCTCAGAATAGAGGTTGTCATTCTTTCTTTGCTGATAAGCAAACAGAGGCACAGACAGGTTGAGTCTCTTGCCCAAATTCAGGCAGCCTGTAAGACGCAGTCAGGATTTGAACCTCGAGCCCTCCGTGTGCTGCCTGGCTGTGACCAACATGACCACAGTGTGTTCTGCTGGGCGTAACTGGAGTCCAGGCACTTGGTTTCCAGCACAGCACTCTTTCCCTCCTCCTCATATTCTCTCTCCTTTCTCCCTTCCTATCTGCCCCCTTTCTTCTTCTTCTTCTTCTTTTTAACTCTTCTCCTTAAATGCATGCCTTCTCATTCTGCTCTGGGTGCAGACTTGACTTAGCCTTTGGCTCATTTCTTGCCTTTTGTTTCAGGAGTGTACACCTTAAACAATGAGAAGCAGTGGACAAATAAGGCTGTTGGAGATAAACTTCCTGAATGTGAAGCAGGTGGGTGCTGAGCACTTTACCAGTGCAGTCAGACTTCTGGGTGGGAACGTCCTAGAGGCACAGCCTTCCAGTGAGGCTTCCTCTGAGCACACAAGAGCCAGGAGGAGGGATGTGGGAGAACCGCAGCTGGCCAGGGAGAGACTTAAGCAGTTAGGTGGTAACTCCCTAAGGGTCACTAAGGGTCTTGTTTATTGGGGCCTGAAGGGCACTGGCTGAATCCACTGTCTACACTGCCCACAGATCAGGAGAGCCTGTGCATACAGAGAACCTGCTAGAGAGCCCTGGGTCTAAAGAGAAGCAAGCTCCAGGGAGAACAAGTCAAGGGATAACATACAATCTTAATCCATGGAAGCCTAAAAATGGACGTGGGCTGGGACTGCTGCTTCTCGTTATTAGTAAGAGTTGTTGCTCTCTGCTTTCCCTCTAAGAACCAGAGGCAAAGGCCCAGCCTCTTCTGCTGTGAGTGGTGCAGAACTCCCAACCTGCCTCATATTAACTGCAACATCTACAAAATATGAGCTCCAGTCAATGTTGCTCTAGATTCCTCTTTCTTCAGAGATAATGAATTATTATAGTTCCTAGCCCTTTCTTCTTCTTTTTCTTTGTTTTTTATTTTTTGAGACAGAGTTTTGCTTTTGTTGCCGAGGCTGGAGTGCGATGGTGCTGATTCCTGATCTCAGGTGATCCAACTGCTTCGGCCTTCCAAAGTGCTGGGATTACAGGCGTGAGCCACCACGTCTGGCCCCTAGACCTTTCAATGAATTTCAGGGAATTGTGAAAATTCCTTTGTTGGGATAACCGCTTAAATATAATTCACCAGCCAGGGCTCAAAAAACTCAGTATTTCTAATTTCCTTAGTTAGAAATAGAGTTTTTTGTAATGTAAACAATTTAAAAAATTATTTTAGAACTGCAACTATTGGGAATGAGATGAGCAGGTGATAAGGGCAAAGCATTTAAATCTTTCTAGTTTACGCAGCAGTGACAGCCGCCTATGCTTTTACCCCTCTTTCTCAGATGGAAAGGCTCTTGCACATTTCCACTCACGAGCGTCTTGCTCTCCTTGACAGTGTGTGGGAAGCCCAAGAATCCGGCAGACGCAGTGCAGCGGATCCTGGGTGGACACCTGGATGCCAAAGGCAGCTTTCCCTGGCAGGCTAAGATGGTTTCCCGCCATAATCTCACCACAGGGGCCACGCTGATCAGTGAACAATGGCTGCTGACCACGGCTAAAAATCTTCCTGAACCATTCAGAAAATGCAACAGCGAAAGACATTGCCCCTACTTTAACACTCTATGTGGGGAAAAAGCAGCTTGTAGAGATTGAGAAGGTGGTTCTACACCCTAACTACTCCCAGGTAGATATTGGGCTCATCAAACTCAAACAGAAGGTGCCTGTTAATGAGAGAGTGATGCCCATCTGCCTACCCTCAAAGGATTATGCAGAAGTAGGGCGTGTGGGTTACGTGTCTGGCTGGGGGCGAAATGCCAATTTTAAATTTACTGACCATCTGAAGTATGTCATGCTGCCTGTGGCTGACCAATACAATTGCATAAAGCACTATGAAGGCAGCAAATGCCCCAAAAGGAAGGCACCGAAGAGCCCTGTAGGGGAGCAGCCCATACTGAATGAACACACCTTCTGTGCCGGCATGTCTAAGTACCAGGAAGACACCTGCGATGGCGATGCGGGCAGTGCCTTTGCCGTTCACGACATGGAGGAGGATACCTGGTATGCGGCTGGGATCCTAAGCTTTGATAAGAGCTGTGGTGTGGCTAAGTATGGTGTGTATGTGAAGGTGACTTCCATCCAGGACTGGGTTCAGAAAACCATAGCCGAGAACTAATGCAAGCCTGGCCGGAAGCCCTTGCCTGAAAGCAAGATTCCAGCCTGGAAGAGGACAAAGTGGACGGGAATGGACAAGAGTGGACGGGATAAGATGTGGTTTGAAGCTGATGGGTGCCAGCCCTGCGTTGCTGAGTCAATCAATAAAGAGCTTTCTTTTGACTCATTTCTGTGTTGTGTTCAGTCTTGAGACTTCTTTATTCACTCCTTTATGGTCCAGGGTAGCCAGAAGGTATACAGTCTACTGGGATTATGGAAGAGAACACCCCAAACCCACTGGAAATCCCGAAGGTGATACAAACTCTTCCACCTTAGGGAATCATGCTCACTGACTGAGTGCCTATTGAATGCTAGGCCCCAGAAAGGCAACTGTTGTCCTTGTGTTACAGAGAAGGAAACAGAGACTCAGAGATGGTAAGTGAGTTGTTTAAGGTTACATAGCCATGAAACAATGAAGCAGAACTTTGAACCCAGCCCTGTTTGATACAAACTCAGAGCTCTTTTCACTGTATCCTGTTGCCTCTTCAAAGTGAATTAGGAGAAAAGGAGTGGCCTGGTGAGGAAGAGGCTAGTTCAAAGTGGGATGGGGAGAAAGTGTTTTGACACAGACAGTACTTCAGAGTTTGGGATCTAACCTACCAGCACTCTGGAAAACAAAAGACGATGATGTAAAGGCAGGATCTCTGGATGTGCTGGGTCCAAATCACAGCCTGGCCCAAACATTTGCTAAGTAATTTAGGCTTCCTGGCCATCAGTTCCTGGTCTCTTCCATGAAGGACTTGAGCCAGAGTAATGTCCCTATCAGCAATAACCTTCCGGGACTCTGTAAAGAGTGGGAGGTAGAGTCCCTGCCTCAGTACAAGCTGCTTTTCCTACTTGGAACAAACCCACCCTTCGCCAGGAATCAAACGCAAGCTGGCTGAGCCTCCTCTCCTGATGGCAGGTCACGCTATCAATGGTCTCCCAGAAGAAAGGTTCTGGAACTCTGATAAACAGAAGTTCTTCTAACGGAATTTTTTCTTCCTATAAGCCTTCAATACCACCAATCACCAATGCGCCGCCTTCTTATGCCAAAATACGGCCCCTCCTTTGCAGGGTGTAAAACGACACTGATGTCACTCTCTTTCACCAGGGTCTGGCCATCTCTCTGAAGCTCTCCTCACAGGCGCCCTGCAGATTCATCAATAAACTTCAACAGGTTAGCGCTAGTAGGCCAATAAGACCTGTATTCTAGAACCTGTGAGATAGTAGCCAGAAACCGGGAAACACCAAACGCTTAAAAAACGCCTCTCAGAACACAGTCAGTTACACCTTTTCCTCTTGTAGCTCTCTTTAGCACCAAGTTTCTTGGAAGAAGAAGGCAGTCTCCAGTTTTCTTAAAGAATTGTCTGATTGTATTAAGTGGCTTCTGGTAAAATAACAGTAAGAGAAAAGCTGTGGCATTCTCTTGATCGCTCATCTTCTCTACCTTCCTCCCCAGCACCACCTCCTGGCCTCAGCCTGTGGGCTTCTGAAAGTCATGTATCAGGACTAATTAGCTAGCATCAAATTCCTGCTAATTCCAGAAGCAGGGACAAACCTGTTCGGGAGGGACTTACTGATAAAATTAGGTATAGGTCTATATGTTAATCAAGGAAAATTCTCTACTTCCTTAAACTTACTTTAAATCCTAGAGGAGAGCCAAATCCATTCTGATGTATAGTCAGAGGAAGGAAATTGGGGGAAATTACAAGTTTCTCCAATCCATGTAAAATTAAGAAATCCTGGGGAAGTTGTAAAGAGAAAACAGTACCCTATTCCCTTGAAAGGCAGAATAGGTTTATAACCTATAATCGAAGGTCTCCTTCAGGAAGAACTTCTTAAACCCTGTATGTCCTCTTACAACACTCCAATACTGCCTATAAAAAAGTCAGACGGGTCATATCGACTACTACAAGACCTTTGAGCCATTAACCAAATAGTCCAGACCACCCACCCTGTCATTCCTAACCCTTACACCATTATCAGCCAGATCCCTCATGACCACCAGTGGTTCACAGTAATAGACCTCAAGGATGACTTCTGGGCTTGCCCCTTAGCTGAGGATAGCTGGGACGTATTTGCTTTCGAATGGGAGGACCCTCACTCCAGTTGGAAGCAACAGTACCGATGGACAGTTCTACCCCAAGGGTTTACAGACTCTCCAAACCTATTCAGTCAAATTTTGGAACAAGTCCTAGAGAATTTCACTCTTTCATCATCCTTATGTCTACTCCAATATGTGGACGACCTGCTCATTTCTGGAGGCACCAAAGACCAAGTAAACACAATTCTAAATTTCCTAAGGAAACAACGGTTATGGGTCCAAAAAGTAAACTCCAGCTCGCAGAACCCGAGGTAAAATACACAGGGCACTTAACAAGCAAAGGGAAGCGGAAGATACGGCCCGAACAAATTCAAGGGATCATATCCTTGCCATTGCCTGAGACAAAACAAAAACTTAGAAAATTCTTGGGGCTAGTTGGAAATTGTTGCCTGTGGATTGACTCTTATGCCTTAAAGACAAAGCCTCTATATCTAAAACTCACCCAAGGGCCCGACCCCTTTCTTTGGACTCCACAAGAAGTCCAGCAAGTTGAGAAACTAAAACATCTACTTATAACTGCCCCTGTCTTAGCTCTGCCATCCTTAGAACAGCCATTTCACCTTTTTGCTAATATAAGCAAGGGGGCAGCTATAGGAGTACTCACTCAAAAGCATGGGGGCCATCGCCAGCCCGCAGCCTTTCTGTCAAGTATTCTTGACCTAGTAACCCATGGGTGACCTGAATGTATCTAATCTATAGCAGCAACTGCTTTATTGACAAAAGAAAGTAGAAAAATACCCTTTGGGGGAAGTCTCATTGTAAGCACACCCCATCAGGTTAAAACCATTGTTGGCCAAAAAGCAGGGAGATAGCTTACGGATTCAAGAATCCTAAAATATGAAGCTATCCTATTAGAAAAAGGTGATTTAACCCTAACCACTGACAATGAGCTCAACCCTGCCACCTTCCTTTTTTTTTTTTTTTTTTGAGACAGAGTCTCGCTCTGTCGCCCAGGCTGGGGTGCAGTGGCTGGATCTCAGCTCACTGCAAGCTCCGCCTCCTGGGTTTACGCCCTTCTCCTGCCTCAGGCTCCCGAGTAGCTGGGATTACAGGCGCCCGCCACCTCGCCCAGCCAGTTTTTTGTATTTTTTAGTAGAGATGGGGTTTCACTGTGTTAGCCAGGATGGTCTTGATCTCCTGACCTCGTGATCCGCCCGTCTTGGCCTCCCAAAGTGCTGGGATTACAGGCTTGAGCCACCGCGCCCGGCCTTTTTTTTTTTTTGAGACAGTTTCACTCTTATTGCCCAGGCTAGAGTACAATGGCACAACTTGGCTCACCACGACCTCTGCCTCCCGGGTTCAAGTGAATTCTCCTGTCTCAGCCTACCGAGTAGCTGGGATTACAGGCATGTGCCACCACACCTGGCTAATTTTTTTGTATTTTTAGTAGAGATGGGGTTTCTCCATGTTGGTCAGGCTGGTCTTGAACTCCTGACCTCAGGTGATCCACCCACCTCGGCCTCCCAAAATGCTGGGATTACAGGCATGAGCCACTGCAGCTGGCCAACCCCACCACCTTCCTGACAGGAAATCCAAATGCCGGAGACCCTGAGCACAAAAGCTTAGACTTAATCAATCATCAGACTAAAGTAAGGCCTGATCTAAGTGAGACCCCTTTAAAAACAGGGCACCATTTCTCTGTTGACGGCTCCTCCTGGGTAATTGAAGAGAAAAAACATAACGGCTACTCAGTGGTTGATGGAGAAACTCTCACAGAAGTTGAATCACGGAGACTGCCCAGTAACTGGTCTAACTAAACATGTGAGTTGTTCGCACTAAATCAAGCCTTAAAATATCTGCAGAATCGAGAAGGGATATTTACACCAATTCCAAATATGCTTTTGGAGTGGCCCATACCTTTGGGAAGATTTGGACTGAACGAGGTCTTATTACTAGCAAGGGCCAAAACCTTGTCCACAAAGAGTTAATCATGCAAGTATTAGAAAACCTTCAGCTACCAGAGGATACAGTCATTGTTTATGTCCCAGGACACCAAAAAGGTCCCTCTTTCGAGATTCGCTTCCCAAGAAGCACCCATTTTTCATTTAACCCCTTGTCTCCCTTCCCCATCCGCAACCCCCATCTTCTCCCAACCACATAAAAATTAAAGAAAATAGGGGCTAATGAAAACTCAGAAGTGAAATGGATACTGCCAGGTAACAAAGAAATGTTGTCTAAGCCCCTAATGAGAGAAATCTTAGCACAACTTCACCAAGGAATTCATTAGGGTCCCCAAGCCATGTGTGACGCAGTCCTTAGAACGTACAGGTGTATAGGGATTTATACCCTTACCAGGCAAGTCACAGACAGTTGTATGGTGCGCAGAAAAACCAATAAACAAACTTTAAAAAAACCACCCTTTGGGGGAAGAAATCCTGGGCTAAGGCTATTCCAAAGTGTCCAAAGAGACTATACTGAAATGCCCCAAATAGGCTGCCTCAAATATTTGTTAGTTATAATGGACCATCTCACTCACTGGGTGGAAGCCATTCACCTGCCAAGTGCAACTGACAATAATGTAGTTAAAGTACCAATAGTGTTGTAACTGAGCGAGTTATAGAGAAACGCCACACTTCAACATGAATTCAGGAGTCCTTTATTAGCTGGTGACCGAGAGACGGATAGTGCTCAAAATTCTCTCGGCCCTGAAAAAGGGGCTAGATTTTTTTTTATACTTTGGTTTAGAAAGGGGAGCGGGAATCAAGCTGAAGCAATCTCACAGAAGTAAAACAAGCAAAAAGACAAATGGTTACAGGAAAACAAACAGTTCCAGGTGCAGGGGCTTTAAATCCATCACAAGGTGATAGGTGCGAGGGCCTTGGATGCCATCTATCGGACACAAACGCGGGGGCTATAGGTACTATCAACTGGGCGAATTCCTGGGAACTGTGGATATAGTTTGCCACAATACCTTATCAGTTAATTGCACTCTTTGATGTGCTGGGAGTTCTTGCACAAGTTAAATCCTTGAGGAAGCGGGTGGGTAAGGAGCCCTTGATGTCTTGCAAATGAAGGAGCCAAACGGAGTCTGTCCAGCTTTCTCAGCTAAGGGACAGTCAATTCATATTAAAACAGGGTAAGGTATCACAAGAGACTACATCATACCCAGATTCAGATTAATAGAGAACATTGACTCAGACAATGGAACCCATTTTACTGTACAGGTCATTAAAGGATTAACCCAGACACTAGAAAAAAAATGGGAATACCATACTCCCTGGCACCCACCCTCATTATGAAAAGTAGAAAGAATGAAACAAACTCTAAAAAAATCACCTAACTAAACTAATCTTCAAAACCCGACTGCCATGGACGAACTGCCTCCCTATCGCCGTACTAAGAATTCATACCACCCCTTGAAAAGATATCAGCCTGTCCCCTTATGAAATGCTCTACAGATTGCCATACTTAAATTCCACCACTGACATCCCCACATTGGAAACAAAAGATCAATTTCTTAAAAACTATATATGTTGTCTGTCTTCCACCCTGTCTTCCCTCAGGATCCAAGGCCTCTTAGCACAAACGCCACCTCTAGAGTTTCCAGTACACCCACATCATCCTGGGGATTATGTGCTCATCAAAAGCTGGAGAAAGAAAAACTGGAACCATCATGGGAGGGACGCTATCTAATACTCCTAACACCTGAAACAGCAGTCCCAACAGCTGAACAGGGGTGGACTCATCACACTCGGGTAAAAAGGACCCCACCCCTTATGGAATCATGGACCACCACTCCAGGACCAACTCCCTCAAAATTAACATTCAAAAGGTCTAATTTGTCTCTTCTTCCTCCTAATTGCCCAGGGGCATTTCATTATTAATGTAACCAAATCAGCCTCCCCTCAAGCTGTTGAGTTTGATGCTTGCCTAGCCATACCTTGCGGAGACCTACCAAGTTAAAGGCAACTAGCCTCTTCGGAAAAGTATCTTTGCCTTTGGTACTCACCCCACCCTCAATCTGATCCTTGTAAGATTCCCTATAATTGGCTACCCTACCATTCCTGGTACGATATTCCCTAGACCACTCAGTCCCAAGGCTGGACTTCCCCAGCAGGCTGTACCTCCCTAAAACCTTATATCCATTTTACTAAACGAAATAACTCCTTTAACTGCCAACACCTGACGTAACCCGGTGCATATTTCTACTACTACTTCAATCTCCGCTAACCCTATTCCCACCCTAAGTCGCTTTTATGGTACAGGGGCAGATGTTACTGGGAAAGACCCCATAGGGTCCTTCAGATTGGTTTTGTCACCCCTCCAGCACCCCTTCCTTCCCCAAGATCTCCTCCAAATCAAACAACTATCTTGCCATTACCTAATGACAAAACTAAAGTGGCCATAGTGGAAGTCAAAGACCTAAAACACACCCTGGTTATTGAGACCAGATACCAAGAAACAAATGCCTGACTGAAATTGATCAAATACTCAGTGTGCACTTTAAATAAAAGTGACTATTACACCTGTGCAACAGGCAGGCCAGAAATCCAAATAGTTCTTTTCCTGTTTGGATGGTCTAACCAACCGGGCATGGACTGTATGGTAGCTCTCTTCCAGCATCCCCCAGCCTGGGGTAGTAAGTCATGCACCACTCTCTCACTGCTTTTCCTGAAAGTCAAAGACTGCTCTGTGGGTCAGCCCCCAAGGGCCATCCGGTACCTGGCCTCTCATGCCAATTTTACCTCATGTTTCTCGCAACAGGGGGAAAACTTGGCATTTTTCGGGAATCTAACAGGATGCAGCGAATCCAAGCCTTTTCAATAGCTCACCAATCAGACTGCCCTCATCTATCCACGAGCAGATGTTCGGTGGTATTATGGAGGACCTCTACTGGGTACGCTGCCAAATAACTGGAGTGTCACTTGTGCTCTAATCCAATTGGCCATCTCTATCACCCTGGCATTTCATCAGTCTGGCAAAAAGTCACCCTCTTGGGAAAAAAGAGAAGCTCAAGGGTCTTTCGACCCCCACGTCTATATAGAGGCAATTGGAGTACCACAAGGAGTAGCCAATGAATTTAAAGCTTGAAATCAAATAGCTGCTGGGTTTTAGTCAGTCTTACTTTGGTGGTCTACTATAAACAAAAACGTAGATTGGATAAATTATACATGTGACAATCAACAACGATTTGTTATTTATACCAGAGATGCCATTAACGGGATAGCGGAGCAATTTGGTCCCACCAGCCAAATGGCCTGGGAAAACAGGATAGCTCTTGACATGATATTAGCAGAAAAAGGCAGAGTTTGTGTCATCATCAGACCCCAATGTTGCACTTTGATCCCAAATAACACAGTTCCTGATGGAACCATTACCAAGGCTCTACAAGGCCTCAACACCCTAGCAAATGAGCTGGCTGAAAATTCTGGAACAGATGACCCCTTCACAGGTTTACTGGAAAGATGGCTTGGTAAATGGAAAGGACTTATGGCCTCTATCCTCACTTCCCTTGCAATTGTTACAAGTGCACTCATCCTTGTAGGCTGTTGCATCACACACTGTGTTCGTGGGTTAGTTCAAAGACTCGTAGAAACGGCTCTCACTAAAACCTCCTCTGTCACTCCCCCTCCATATTCAGATAAACTTTTACCTAGACAATCAAGAAGAGCAACAAAGCCAAATCTTACTAAGTAATAATTCGAAGAAGAAGAATTATAAAAACAAAAAGGGGGAAATTGTCAGAATAAAAGAAAGGTTCCTCTTCAAAGATCCAACTTTCTTGTCATAGGCTGTAAACTGCCTTGCTCCAAATCTTAACCTGTAACCTTTACCCTGTGCCTTTTGAGAAAGATTCAAGCACACAGCCAATTGGGGTCAGCCTAGACTGTGCGGTCCAACCCCAGCCAATGGGGGAAAGACAAAGAACCAGGAACTGCGTTAGGGTTAAACACCTCTGTTCTCCTTTGTTAGATGTGCTCTTGTGACTGCTACAGGCGCAGGCAGCACCCTTCTGCAAAGTAAACTTGGAGAAACTTTTCTTCTGAGTGCTGCTCTTCCTCTGCGGCACCGAGAACTTATTTCTAACAGGAGGAAGAAGACACGAGAATTTTGCGCATGCAGGTTCTGAGTTTTGGCTGGTGGGCTGAGTGCTCACCATACCTCAAATACTGTGTGAACTGGGCTGAAGAATAGAAAACCCGACTAACAGTGACTTAGGCAAAAAGAAATTTTATTCTTTCACAGAAATCTGAGGGAGGCAGGCTGAGTTCACGCAGGAGTTCAATAACATCAGGGATCGGGCTCTTTTTGTTCTTCTTAGCATGTCGATGTTTTACCTCATGGGCCTAAAATGGCTGTTGTAGCTCCATGCATCATGCTTAAACCAGAGGCAGGAAGTGTACGATGGAAGAGGACAGAGGTGATGGCCTCCTCCTCTCGTTTTGTCTTATTCCTGGAGTGACTCCCTCCTTTTATCAGCAGGAACACAAGCAGTGCCCAGCAGCCTTCCCTCTGTCCTGTATAAGCCAGAAGCAAGCCTCATGGCACCTCTCCCTGCAGAAAAGGGGTGGAATGGAACCCCTGGCAAAGGGGGATGGACTTGCAGTGACAGTGCTGCTCTGAACAGGACTGGGCTTCTGCTGGCGAGGAGGTCAGCGGCTGCTAGGCAGATCACAAGCTGCCTCGACCATGGTTCTCCAGCTCTGCGCCTGCCCTCTCCTTCTAATAAATGTTTCAATAACCTTAAAGAGGGACAGTAATTTGCCCACGGTTGCACCAGGCGCCCCGGAAGAGTCAGAATTCCTCACAAAGTTATTAAAACAGGCAAATCCCATGAGGGTGACATTTCTTTCTAACAATGCTGACATCTCTTTCAGTTTTGAGCTTTAGTAATACAATTTTCTGCCTCAGGAAGAGGCAGCAGCTTCTGGGAAAAACCTGCTCCTGCTAAGGGTGGCTCATGCATTGTTTTACCTGAATAGAGTGGTGGAGAGTGAAGGTTCAAATTCTCATTTTTCATATTCAATTTTATAATATAAAAAATAATTAAATGGGCCAGGCACAGTGGCTCATGCCTGTAATCCCAGCACTTGGGAGGCTAACGCGGGCAGATCACGAGGTCAGGAGATCATGACCATCCTGGCTAACACCGTGAAACCCCATTTCTACTAAATATACAAAAAATTAGCCAGGCGCGGTGGCAGGTGCCTGTATTCCCAGCTACTCGGGAGGCTGAGGCAGGAGAATGGTGTGAACCCAGGAGGCAGAGCTTGCAGTGAGCCAAGATCGCACCACTGCACTCCAGCCTGGGCAACTGCATCTCAAAAAAAAGAAAAAAAAAAAAGAGCCAACCAGGACAATGTTTAAAAGTCAGACCCAAAAGGCTCCAAAATAAAACTTGTCTGCTCAATTATTTATTTGAAGAGAAACTACAGTAATACAGACTGGAGATGGGAAAGCATGAGGGATGTATGAGTGGAGAAATGGGCAAAGGGGTGTGTGTGTGTGAGAGTGTGTGCATGTGTGTGTGCAGGCATGCAGCCAGCTAGGGTAGAAAATAAGTACTTTTGCTTCTATGGGAAGTGACTTTCCAGTTCACTTGTGTATCAAATGAACATGATTAAATCAAATTGTACTAGCCAATGTTTTGGAGGACTCTGTATTAAAGGAATAAAGAAAAACATTAGAAAGAGAAGTTACAAAAATCACCGTGGGGAAAATGAACACCAATGACTTGGCTGCTCTAGGCTTGCAGGGAGTAGACAGGCATCCCAGGTCATCAGAGAACCAGCGGGGTCTTCTCCTCAGGGGCCAGGTTTTCTACATGCAAGTATAACCTCTTCTCGTCTGGGACACGTTTCCAAAGGACTTCAGAAACAGCACAGCTGCATTCAGGTACTTGTCAAGATGTGCCTTTTTCTTCATCTTTGACATCAGTTAATGTACTAAATGTCTTGATAGAGAAGGTCATATTTGGGAATATTCTTGGGATCAATAGGACTTTGGACAATAAGCTTCCCCCTCATTGCTCCTCGATAGATTACTTCAATCAAATCTATGAAGTCTTGTTTGGTTTTGAAGCTTCCCACAAACTTAGTGTGATCTGGAGATCTAGACACCATAGAAGAGAAACAACTGCTCTAAGAACTTTGAATAATCACTTGTGGAAGACTTTCAGGATAAACAAAATGAACAACAGCTTTGTTATTTTCTTCTTGTCAATGAGACTTCAGACATAAAGCCCAACATTTTTTTCAATCATTTTTTTCCATTTAGTAAATGACTAAACCCAGTGCTGTGGGCCACTAGCATGAAAGCTGTCACGTGAAAAGCTTCAGCTTCAAATCTATCGTAATCACAAAATCTATTTTTATCACTTCTCATATCACCAAGTGTTGGAATGTACAGTGTTTCTGTGTTTGCTGTTGTTTTTGCCTGGGCACCGTGCAAAGCCCATTCAATACTCACGGCCTTTAAGTTCTAGTCGCTTATACTTTTGAGTAGTAGGTATTAAAAAATTATTTTTTTAAGAAAAGTATCTCAAACATCAGGTACGTTACTATAAAAATTTTAAAGAAAGAAACAAAATCACCGATGAGGCCAGAGGTCACTTTTCAGTGTACATCCTTCCAATTGTGTGTGTGTGTGTGTGTGTGTGTGTGTGTGTGTGTACATGCAGATACATACTTCTTTTTTCCCAACACTGGAAATTATGTCATACAAATTATTCAGTAATATGCTTTTTTCTAGCTAACATGTATTTCTTTCAGTTGTTAAATCTGCATCTACAACATCATATTAAAGTCCTGGAAGTGTAATTACTGGGTTAAAAAGTGTAAACACTTTAAAGTATTTGATACATAATGTTGAACTGGCCCCCTTAAAACGTTGTCCCAAGTTAATACTTACATCAACTGTGTTCCAGTAGAATAAACAGCTTTAAAATATTTTGTGTTTTTTGTTGTTGTTATTGTTGTTGTTTTGAGATGGAGTCTTGCTGTCCCCAGGCTGGAGTGTAGTGGTGTGATCTCTGCTCACTGCAATTTCCACCTCCCAGGCTCAAGAGAATCTCCTGCCTCAGCCTCCTGAGTAGGTGGGATTACAGGCGCCCACGATCATGCCTGGCTAACTTTTTTCTTCTTTTGAGACGGAGTCTCAGTCTGTTGCCCAGGCTGCAGTGCAGTGGTGCGATCTTGGCTCACTGCAAGCTCCACCTCCTGGGTTCACGCCATTCTCCTGCCTCAATCTCCAGAGTAGCTGGAACTACAGGCACCTGCCACCGCGCCCAGCTAATTTTTTGTATATTTAGTAGAGAGAGGGTTTCAGTGTGTTAGCCAGGATGGTCTCGATCTCCTGACCTCGTGATCCGCCTGCCTCGGCCTCCCAAAGTACTGGGATTACACGTGTAAGCCACCGCGCCCAATCACGCTTGGCAATACCCGGCTAATTTTTGTATTTTTAGTAGAGATGGGGTTTCACCATGTTGGCCAGGTTGGTTTTGAACTCCTGACCTCAAATGATCCGCCTGCCTCAGCCTCCCAAAGTGCTGGGATTACAGGCGTGAGCCACTGTGCCCAGCCTAAAGCACTTTAAAACAGATATCCCACACACTTTCAAATAAAGACAAAAAGGGTACACAGATCTAGATAAGTGGACACCTCAACCACAGTAGAAATGGTCAGAATCATGGATGTATCCAATCATCAATATTAAGTATTGAGATGGTAACTGGATGGAGTGGAAGGCATTAAATAAGACTTCATGTTACTTATTCTTGACAGGCTTTGCTGAAAAATGACTTAAAATTCTCTGAATGGCGAAAAGCAGGAAACTTTGCAAGAGAGAAGCACATCTTAGTTTGCTGGAAGGAATGCTTCTTTTATAAATGCCACTCACCAGTCCAAAAGTGTTTTTTTTTTTTTTTTTGAGATGGAGTCTCGCTCTGTCGCCCAGGCTAGAGTGCAGTGGCCGGATCTCAGCTCACTGCAAGCTCCGCCTCCCGGGTTCACACCATTCTCCTGCCTCAGCCTCCCGAGTAGCTGGGACTACAGGCGCCCGCCACCTCACCCGGCTAGTTTTGTGTATTTTTTAGTAGAGACAGGGTTTCACCGTGTTAGCCAGGATGGTCTCGATCTCCTGACCTCGTGATCCACCCGTCTCGGCCTCCCAAAGTGCTGGGATTACACGCTTGAGCCACCGCGCCTGGCCAACCAGTCCAAAAGTTTAAGAACAACTATGTATTTTGTTTCAAATGAAATTTCTGGGAAAATTTTAAGAGCTCTTGATTTAGTTAACATAGCTATTTTATATTTTATAGACATGGATGGTAGTGCTTCGCAAACTGTACTATTTCTTCATACTTAAGTTGGAAATTAAAATTTGACAAACCATGTGTATGCACCATATTTTTAATTAAAAAAATAAATAAAATTTGACAATCATACCTGAAACACTGTCATTTTGTAGCAAGGCTTTGCATAAAAAATTAGAGAGTGCATCAATTGAGGAAACAGTGCTGATACAAGACTCACAGAGTCAACATCACATGCAAATAGGCAAGCCACTGAAACTGCTTACCAAAGGAAACTTACAAGGTTGCAATAACTTCAGATCAACTGCACTTACCCATAATCCACTTTCATATGCTGCCCATTGAAGAAAAAGACAGTAGACGGAATATAACTGATGTCAAAATACTGTGTATAAACTGGAGTTTGGTCTACATCTACCAGGTATATAGCAGCCATTTTACTTAAGTCAGAAGAGGTCTTAGAAAGCTGCAAATGAGAGAGACGAAAGTTACAATATGAGAGGCAGCTAATGTTTCTTCTGTGAAACTTGTTACTACAACAGAGTATTTTGTTTGAAAAAAACTCCTGGGCCAACAACGCAGCCCTTGTGGCTCCCACATTAGATACAAGGTAACCCCATCCTCCACAGTCTCATTCCCTGCAGACGGGGTGAGGAAGGAACCTTGGGAAACTGCATGAGGTTAGGAGGGTGTCAGCATGGGAGTATTCTTGTTTATTCATTGCAGAAAGAGACCTAACCCAGAACTAAGACCTCTTCTGGCCATTTCTACTGCTGCCATCCTGTGTAAGAGCTAACCGTAGAAATCCTTGGGGAAAACTGTGAATCTATTTCTTCCTTTAATTTCCTTCTTTGAATGTTTTTATAAAAGTAACCCATGCTCATTTAAAACAACACAACTTAGAAATATGTAATATGGATACTGAAATTCCCTAATGTCTCCTTCCTCCCAATCCTCCCAGAAATGAAAATCATAATAATTAGTAACAGACACTTATATGACATTACTATGTGGTAACTGTCCTAAGTGCTTAACATTTGTTAACCCATTTAATCCTTACAACATTCTTAAAAGGTATATGCTACTAGAGTCCTCATTTTATAGATAGGGAAACTGAGGCACAGGGAGGTAATTTGCCCCAGGTCATACAGCTCCTAAGCAGTAGGGCGGGGATTTGAACTTTGGCAGTGTGGCTTCAGTGTCTACATTACCGACTTCTGTGGTATTTCCTCCTCCCTACGGCTGAGGGTAGAATCCTCTGGTCCTTTTTTCCCCAGGGCTAACACATCACACCCTCATTGTAACCACGGAAATGTGGATTTGTACGCTCAGCTCTTACACGGGATGGCAGCAGTAGAAATGGTGCTAAGAGGTCTTAGTTTTGGGTTAGGTCTCTCTGCATCAGGCACATACTGGAGGCAGCACACGAGACCAGATTATTTGCAGCTACAGAAAACTGAGTTCAAATCTCAGCTCTGCAATATAGTGGATCTGTGCCTGTGGGACGTTACTTGACCTCTCTGGCATTTTTTCTCCCACTGGCAAATGGGGCTACTATTATCTTACTATTGTAAGCACTGAAAAGATAGTGTTCACAGATGCTTGTTAATAGTTTTTTGCTCTTCCATTGCCTTGTTGGTGAAACAACATTGACAGCTTCTAGTGGGTAAGGACATCCAAGACAGATTCAGCACACACAGATTTGGGGGTTTGGCTCAGAGCAGGCACACAATCAGCTCTTAGGGAACTAAATGAGCAGCCATATACCCAACCCTGACTACTCCCTCTCATGTACTATTCAGATGCTGAAGTAAGAATATAGATTATTAATAAAAACCACTTAGACAGTCACTTACAATATCATCTAGCTGCAGACAGACAGGATCTTCATCTCTTCCAAACCTGAGAACCAACACCTTCTCGGCAGTACTTTTGATCGCCTGGTCTACTTCCTTTTTGCTAGTCAGCTTGGGCAGCAGGAAGCTCATCCTGAGACAACCCAAATGTGAATCCTGTCACTCCTGAAATAAAGGTGCAAAGTTTAAAGATAGTTTAGATTAAGTGTGTGAGCCCTCATTAAAAAAAATTAATCCACAGAGTAGCTAATGCATTCACATGGTATAAAAGAAACATCATAGAAAGGTAATATTGTGGAGTTTCCCTCTCCTTGTCCCTGCTCCTTGTACCCTTTTTTCATTGCTCCCTCCCCCGGGCCAGATAAGTGCTTTCATTAGTTTCTCATGTATTTTTCAGAGTTTTGTTATGCATTCACAAAAAAATACAAATATGTGTTCCTACATTTTTTCTCTCCCTCTCTCTCCCCCCAAAAGATAGCCTATTCTATCAATGTTTCAGCAAGAAAGCGATGACACTCTAAACTTTGGTAATTTGAAAGCAGTTTAATTAAGGCAGTTGTAGAAAAACAACAGGGTAAAGTACACTACTTTGGGGCTAGTAACACCGGGATGCTATACCCATCCTTAGGCCATGGGAGGAAGGAGCCATGGGAGGAAGCAGTTATAAGAATTGTGTGGCAAAAAGAGGTGAGTGGAGAGGACAGTGTATAGGAGGGTGGCCTGCTGTTAAGTGTTGCAGCCACTCTCCTCCCTCCCTCCGACCTCTGCTCGTGAAACCACTGGCTGACTTCAACTGGAACCAGAGGGCAGGGGCCTGTTGAGGCAGGCAAACCTCCCCATCCCAGAGAAGTCTAGAGGAGGATGAAGAATGGCTGTGGAGGGACCAGTGGCAGATGTTCAGCGCACACACTTTATCTACTCTTCTGCACTTTTCATTATTTCAAACCTAACCTATGAAAATTGCCCCATACCTCTATATAGAACACATCCATATTCTTTGTCATGGCAGCATATTATTTCTTGCATGTGTTGTTACACATTTTAAACAGTCGTTTATTGTGTACATTATATTATTACAAAACCTGGCTTAAAGATTCTAGGTGCACCTCATTACATGGCAAACAGATCAGTTAAGAGTGTGTGTGAAAACTACAATTCCATAAACAAATCATAAAATGCTGAGGTACAAGGGGCTTAATCCAACCCCGTCATTTTACAAACTAGCTTGCTTACAGTTGCACTTCCTGTTACAACGACAAGGACTAGAATACAGGCCACCAACTTTCTAGTCCAAAAGAAAAGGTACAAATGGACAGTAAATACATTTGAAAAGTTAAGCTTTACTAGTAAATTATAAGATATGTTTACAAAGTCACTGAATTGGCGAAAATTAAACAAGACAGTGGCACACAATAATGGCAAGAGTATGAATGTAGGGGCAGACACAGGGAGTCCCTACAGGAATGCAGGCACAAAATCTTTCTGGAAAGAAAGGGAACATACTCTTTGACCAATAACTCCACTGCTTTCCTCTCTCCCTCTCTTTTCCTGAGACGGTGTCTCGCTATGTTGCCCAGGTTGGTTTCAACTTCCCAGGCTCAAGCAATCCTCCCGCCTCAGCCTCCCGAGTAGCTGGAACCTGAGGCGCGCGCCACAACTGCAGAAACACCAAAAAAAGAAAAAAACTTTGAACTCACTTTTGTACAAAACCTTATTACAATGTATTCCACAAAAACAACTGGAAATAAATATCCCCAAACACCATTAGTGGTCACCTCTGCGTATGAAGGCACGGGTGATTTTTATTTACAGCGGGGCGCGCATCTCTATTTTCCAAAATATCCGATATATGTATTTAAAGTCACCTGTGTTACGCTGCTCCTGGCCCACACGCGCTAGGGACCGTAGCACTTACCTTACTCGTCCACGCCGCCTCCCTCCCTTCCACTTTGTGACTGTCGGCAACCCCTTCTCGGAAGAGCCCGGGCGCGGACGGCTCCTTTCATCAGCCCCAAGCCGGGCAGAACCCTAAGGCCAAGTCACCCAGGACCTGTTGCCTAGCAACCCTTGTGGCCCCGCTAACGGGAAGGAAGCCGAATAGAAAACGCACAAGCACAGAAAACAAACTCCCAGTCGTCGGTCGGCCCCCGCTCAACAGCCCAATAAACAGAAGAGCTTCTAGTCACCGCCCACCTTGCTCGGCTCTGACCGGAAGCTAGGCGTCACCTCCGCCAGTGTTAAAGATGGTCGAGCTTTTTCCCCTCCTTTTCCTGCCCTCAGACTAGAGGCGGGATGTCGTCTTTTAGACTGTGATTGGTCACAAGGAGACTCGGAAGTGTCTCTGATCAGAGCCCCAGAGGAGGCCTTGAGAGCCTGTTGGCGTTCCGTTCCACACTTGGATCCAGGAATCGGCGTGTTCCAGACTGCTCTCTATGGTAGCTTTGGGCGGATAGAGGGGGCCGCGCAAGGTATTAAGGGACAATAATGGCCGCTTTCAAGGTGTGGATTTTGGCTCCTTGAGCCTGTCTAAGCGAGGGGTGGCAGCGCCGGCGCCCCAAAATCCGGGACAGAAGGGTCCCAAGAGTCGCGCTTGGTGAGGTGAGAGTCCCTTCTTCCTTCCTGGCCTGCTCTTCTATAATGATGGCGGCTCCAGGCGGCGGATATTGGTTCCCTGCCTAGGTCCGGGCCCGTTTGGGGAGTTCCTCTGTCGTCCCTGTCACCCACCTTGCCTTACTCACCTCAGGGATGCTGCACCCGTCCTGCCCGTTTTGGCCTTTCTCCTTGCTCTGGTCAAATCCTGCTGCCTGGAGCGGCCTCGCCGAGATCCAGTAATGCTGCCTGGAGTGGCCTTGCTCCCTCTCCCAGGCCTCCGCTGTAACCCACCCCAGACTGTCTCCCAGCCCGAGTAGGACTCCTTGTGTCTTCCTCTGCTCTCTCACAGTGTTATTTATACCAGGCAATCTGGTGGGCGATCTCTTCTACTAGAATGTCAGCTTCAGGTGGGCGGGGATTTTTGTCTTGTCTTCTCTGTTGCTGTCGCCGAGAACAGCAATTGGCTCAGGAACGCCCTCAGTGAATAATTGTTGAATGCGTGAATCTAGGTTCTTTCTTCCCTGGCTTTCTCGTACCCCTTGTAGTTTCTTTGCCATTAATTCTTCTCAAGAATCTTGCTCTTTAGCTCTTATTTGTTCTTCTCAGCAGCTAGTTAAGTCCTGTCTGGCTGCCTCCTTGTCATGTGTTGCTGGAATCTTCCTTTGCTGTCTCCAGAAATGTTTGGGTTTCTGTTCTCCTTTAATAAGTTTAAATTAATTCATTTTAAACTTGATCAAACGCTTATTTTGCTAGACATTGAACTACAGCAGTCAACGACACATCCAGTGTTCTCTCACCTGTGTAGAATGGCAGTCCAGGGTACATTTCCTAGTTTAGACAACTATTGAGCAGAGCCTGTATATCTTTATTTTCTTGTGTGGATTTCCTCGCATACGTACAGATGTCACCAATATGCAGCTTTCTTTTTTCTGTTCTGCCTGATGGCATTTTCAAAATGTAACTCTTGTTTCTGCATTAATATTATGTGTCCAGTCTGTTTGGCAGTATTCTATAGAGCTGTGCATTTAATTAGAGTTTGGTAAAAAATTCTGGATTCTGGTGGCACCTCCTTTGCTTTGCTAACTTGTTGGAATGAGAGGAATTATCCAAGCACCCAGAACTGGTATATGTTCATGAGTGGCAGATGTGTAGTGAGAGGTAAAGAGAAGCTTGTTCCAACTTGAGTGCCAGAAGTCTTGTAGCCACTTAAATACTTCTCAGTAACACCTTTTCCTAACCTAGTATTTCTCATAAATATTTTTGGTAAACATGGATTGTTATTAAACTGATTTTGGCTGCTGTGAGTAAATTGTTTTCTGTAAAACGCAGCTAGGCTAAGAAAAGCCACTGAAGTATGGAGAACATGGATGGTAGCCTTCTGCCCCATCTCCGTGCTGCTGTACCTGTTGTTTAAAGAGAGGAGGAGGTGGAACTCATGTAAAGAATGGGTGAGGGACCAACAGTATATAGCAAGATAGCAAATAATATAATGTAGCAGTTACATTTATGTTAACTCTTATGGTTCCATAAAGAGCTACTCTTTATGGTTTCACATACACTTTTTGTTTGATTCTCACAATAGCTTCATGGATTAGATAAAGTAAAAATTATTTCCATTTAATAGATATGAAATTATGGTTAAACAAAGATTAAGTTATTTACTTACCATCATACAGGTAGAAAGTATCAAGAGCCTGGTTTCTAATTGAGGTTTCTGACTCAAATTTAGTGGTGTTTTCCCTATACCCCTGTTACAGATGACATCAGGCTCTAGAAAGTATCCCTTAGTGAGGCCTTTTATTGCCTCTTGGATCCTTGTCGGGGGTGGGGAGGAATATATGGGGGGTGTGTGTGTGTGTACCTATTTTGGTGTTTGTTGGGGGTTAGAATAGGAGGATCTTTGGAGATTGTCAGTGACTTGATGGAAAGGTCTTGTAGAGAGGCAGCAAAAGTAGTCCTGGTCTTAGGGGGAGATGGGAAAGGTTAATCACCTAAATATAACCATAACTGCATTTATTCTGGGATATGGTAGAGCTGAGCCTTTTCCAGTACCAAATGGTTTGCCTTCCTTCCAGAGAAATCCCAGATCCTGTGATGGGGGACACCAGTGAGGATGCCTCCATCCATCGATTGGAAGGCACTGATCTGGACTCTCAGGTTGGCGGTCTTATTTGCAAGACCAAAAGTGCGGCCAGCGAGCAGCATGTCTTCAAGGCACCTGCTCCCCGCCCTTCATTACTGGGACTGGACTTGCTGGCTTCCCTGAAACGGAGGGAGCGAGAGGAGAAGGACGATGGGGAGGACAAGAAGAAGTCCAAAATCTCTTCCTACAAGGACTGGGAAGAGAGCAAGGATGACCAGAAGGATGCCGAGGAAGAGGGCGGTGACCAGGCTGGCCGAAATATCCGGAAAGACAGGTAAAGGCCTCAGGAGGGGTTAGCCCATAGAGAAGCAAATGGAGGCTGGAAAATAACATCTCATGTTTATCTCTCAGTTTTCCTGTTGGAGATTTAGAGCTTTATGATTTTATTTTGATTCTGTAATATTGAAGGTAGGTAGGAGTTTGTGGGGAAAAACAAAGGTGACTAAAGACTAGATGGTAGAGGTTAGAAATGCCTTGGGTTGTTGCCATATGTGAGCCTGCTGTCCCAAGGAGACAAAGTGGAAAAGGAGAGATCACTTGTTTGGACAGCCAAAGGTTTTAGGGCAGAGTTTTTTTCCTATAGAGGGGCCCTTACCAGTTGCTCTCCCTGTTTCAGACATTATCGATCTGCCCGGGTAGAAACTCCATCCCATCCAGGTGGTGTGAGCGAAGAGTTTTGGGAACGCAGTCGGCAGAGAGAGCGGGAGCGGCGCGAACATGGTGTCTATGCCTCATCCAAAGAAGAAAAGGATTGGAAGAAGGAGAAATCGCGGGATCGAGACTATGACCGCAAGAGGGACAGAGGTAAACTGTCCAGCACATTTCCTGTTGTCCATTAGCATTTGAATAAATGTGTCAGCCTTTTTCTTGTTGCAGGAGTCTTTGCAACACCCATTAGTTAGGGAGTCCTGTTTGCATGATGTCCGCCTGAGTGGTTTTGACCCTGTTGGGATTGGGAATAGTAGTTTAAGAAAAGAACTGTTGCCTGTAACATAGGTGCTCTCCTTGAGTGTGTGGTCTTTGTTTTATTATGATAAAGGAGATAATGGGTAAATATGTACAAGAGACCAGCGTTTCTAATAGTATTGGTGATAGAGAAAGGACAGTGCTATGGAACAAAGCTAGACAAAAAAAATCCAATGCTGTCTTTGCTCAGTATTAAGTTTTATAGCTGATAGAATTATAACTATTAAAAAAAAAGATTTACTGTAAACTTGTACTATTATTTTTTGAATTTTTGCTAGAAAATAACTGTTACTGTGGGTGTGAAACTTTCTAGGCAGTAACTATTTTTCCCCCTTGGGAGAATGGGCATAGGTGAGTTTCAGGAGTCTACGGATCACATTCGAGCAGTGCAGGTTGCACCTGTGAGTGAGTGGGCAGCCTATGTCCTTTCTCTAGGGTGAAGATGGGTGTACCTTAGGATGGGGTGCATGTTTTTAAGCTTTGTGTGACTCTTCATAGATGACCGGGATAGAAGTAGGCACAGCAGCAGATCGGAGCGAGATGGAGGGTCAGAGCGTAGCAGCAGAAGAAATGAGCCTGAGAGCCCACGACATCGACCTAAAGGTAGACTCACTGTTTTGGTGGCTTGTGAGGATTCCAGTGTATAAAACGCAGAGTGAGTGACTCTTGTCTTCAGGGAGATTGCTGAGGCATTGAGTCAGAATTCCCGATTCCACCATGAACATCTTGGGATAGTTGGTTCTGAGTCAGGTGGGCACGGCTCTGCACTTGGGGTGGATATGGTTCCTGTAAGGTGAGAGGCTGGTTTGCTGAATGGCCAGTTTTCCAAATGGCAGGAAAGAATAGGGAGCTGGAGGTAGAAGGGTTTATTAAAAAGAACTATTTATATCCCAGAGGGGTGTGTTTGTAGAGATAAAGTAAATATCCCTTAAAATGTTGTCCTAAACACAGAATGAAAACTGGACCATTGGCCAGGTGCAGTGGCTCATACCTGTAATCCCAGCACTTTGGGAGGCTGAGGCAGGCAGATCACTTGAGGTCAGGAGTTTGAGACCAGCCTGGCCAACATGGTGAAACCCCGTTCCTAGTGAAAGTACAAAAATTAGCCTGGGGTGGTGGCGGGCATCTATAATCCCAGCTATTTGGGAGGCTCAGGCAGGAGAATCACTTGAACCGGGAGGCTGACGTTGCAGTGAACCAAGATCACACCACTGTACTCCAGCGTGGGTGACAGAGCCAGACTTCCTCTCAAAAAAAACAAAAAAAACAAAAAGAAAAATATATCCTGGACCACTAAAAATTGAGATATCTTAAAAAACTGTCAAAACCGATCTTACCCATTATAGATACATGCAAGGTTTAGAAATAGTAAAAGAAGTAAATTTGGGGAATTTACTTTTGGCAACTGGTTCTAGAGCCATGTCGTGGTTAAGTGAGATGTTTCCTGTGGATGTGTCTTCTGTGAACCCAGATGCAGCCACCCCTTCGAGGTCTACCTGGGAGGAAGAGGACAGTGGCTATGGCTCCTCAAGGCGCTCCCAGTGGGAATCGCCCTCCCCGACGCCTTCATATCGGGATTCTGAGCGGAGCCATCGGCTGTCCACTCGAGATCGAGACAGGTGATGTTCCGGGCAGAGCAGCCCAGTTTCGCTGGGTGGCGGTAAGGAGCCTCGGCAGGGAGAGCAGATGGCGGCCAGTAGGACGTGGCTTAGCTCAGTGACAGTTTTGTGATGCTGGTGCTGCTGTTCCCAGGTCTGTGAGGGGCAAGTACTCGGATGACACGCCTCTGCCAACTCCCTCCTACAAATACAATGAGTGGGCCGATGACAGAAGACACTTGGGGTCCACCCCACGTCTGTCCAGAGGTCGAGGTGAGGCCTGGGGGGCAGGAGGCAGAAGAGCAGGCTTGCTCGCCCTAGCGAGGATGAGCAGGGGCTGCCCTTCTGGAGCTGCGTGGCCCTGCAGATCTGTCCGGGGCCTCTGGGGATAGGCCAGGGCGTGGACTGACCTGCTCCCTGTGCTCCTCCAGGAAGACGCGAGGAAGGCGAAGAAGGAATTTCATTTGACACGGAGGAGGAGCGGCAGCAGTGGGAGGATGACCAGAGGGTAAAACTTTATACCTCTGAGGGGCTGATCAAGGCTGGTGGCCGTCTGTAAATGGGTGACCCTCTAGCAGGACTGGGCTTTGATGAGGGTGCACCTGAGCCCTGTTCAGCCCCGATGCCCTGGAGTCTCTTTGCAGAGGCATAGGCGGCAGGGTGAACCCTGTCACTCACTGCAGTAGGCTGACCTAACTTTTCTGTTATGTGTTGGTGCCACCATGTGGTAACTCTAAGAAGTGCTGTTGTGATGGGCTGCCCTCCAGTCCTGTGTAGTCTCCCACTGTGGTTCTCCTCCAGACAGCACGTGGCTGCAGGGTGGCCTCTCCAGCACCCCTCACAAGGGTAGCTCCACTGCAGTAGTGACTTCCTACCACACGTCCCCTCCTCTGTTGGCCATGTCTCGTGCATAAACTTGATCTGTCCCTCACTCCCTTGCTTCACCTCCTGCCCTGCAGCAAGCCGATCGGGATTGGTACATGATGGACGAGGGCTATGATGAGTTCCACAACCCACTGGCCTACTCCTCTGAGGACTATGTGAGGAGGCGGGAGCAGCACCTGCATAAACAGAAGCAGAAGCGCATTTCAGCTCAGCGGAGACAGATCAATGAGGTGAGGCAGCCTGCAGAAGTTGGAGCAGATTCAGAGCTGGCGGTAGAGCACGTGGGGAAGCAGCAGGTTATGCCCAAGTGAGGGCAGCACAGCTTGTGCCCTGATTGCCGAGAGGACCAGATCCTCTGGAGGTGGAAGAGGAGTGGGTGATGAACCTTTTAGTAGCTTAAGGGCAGCCCTGGCTCATACTTCTCTCTTTTGCAGTACTTCCTTGAGGGGAGGTACTGTTGATGGGAGCAGGTGCATTGGGACCTGCCTCTGTGGTCTGTGTTCTTTGTGTCTCTGATGTGGGCTAGGGGTGCTTACCATTCATGTGTCCATCTAGAGGTTCTGATTTAGATGAAAGGTGCTGCTTCTTAGAACAAAGTCCTGCAGGTGATTTGGGATCAGTTCCTCTTCTGTCTTTGGAGCTGTGGGTAGAGGCCTGTGACATCTTTGCAGCCACCAGTGGCCTTCTGTCAGGACTTGATGTGTCGATACCTCGTAACCTTTCAGGACGACCTTTGGGGTGGAAATTTGAGTATGGTTCCCATTGTGTCCTCACAGGATAACGAGCGCTGGGAGACAAACCGCATGCTCACCAGTGGGGTGGTCCATCGGCTGGAGGTGGACGAGGATTTTGAAGAGGACAATGCAGCCAAGGTGCATCTGATGGTGCACAATCTGGTGCCTCCCTTTCTGGATGGGCGCATTGTCTTCACCAAGCAGGTGAGGCTCCTCTGTGGCCAGGGACAAGACAGCTCAGAGAGACCTGATGTGGGCCAGGTGCAGTGACTCATGCCTGTCATCCCCGCACTTTGGGAGGCTGAGGTGGGTGGATCATTGGTGACCAGGAGTTCAAGACTAGCCTGGGCAATATAGTGAAACCCGTCTCAAAAGTACAAAAATTAGCTGGGCGTGGTGGCAGGCACCTGTAGTTTCAGCTACTTGGGAGGCTGAGGCTGGAGAATTGCTTGAACCTGGGAGGCAGAAGCTGCAGCGAGCAGAGATCATACCACTGCACTCCAGCCTGGGTGACAGCGAGACTCTGTCTCAAAATAAAAAAAAAAAAGGCCTGATGTGGAGACAGGAAAAAGAGAAGGGGAAAAATAGTCCTGTGCCATGAGAGTATGGCAGTCCCTTTCCCAGGCAGGACTCCTGCTGATTTTAATGGGCATTGCTCTTTCTACCCACCGCTGCAGCCGGAGCCGGTGGTTCCAGTGAAGGACGCCACTTCTGACCTGGCCATCATTGCTCGGAAAGGCAGCCAAACAGTGCGGAAGCACAGGGAGCAGAAGGAGCGCAAGAAGGTTGGTTTCTTGTCACCGGGGCTGGGAGGTCTATGCGTATTTTTTTCTTTTTTCTTCTTTTCAAAAGTCTTATTAGGCCCACAGATAGAAGGTAGGAGTCCCCTCTATCAAGTCCTTAGTCATGACAGCTGCGGGGCCTGGTGTTGGGAGAGCTGGAGGCTTGAGGCTCGGAATGCGTGGTCAGTGCCACCAGCGCCCTGGAGGAGTTTACCACCCGCAGGGTGAAGCCTGCTGTCCCCTGGGATTGATTTTCCATTGCCCCCAGTCATGTGGCAGGATGGAACAGACTGACCTTTTTCCTTTTCAGGCTCAGCACAAACACTGGGAACTGGCTGGGACCAAACTGGGAGATATAATGGGCGTCAAGAAGGAGGAAGAACCAGATAAAGCTGTGACGGAGGACGGGAAGGTGGACTACAGGTGGGCAGCCTGTGCCAGCAGCGGAGCAGCCTTGTTCCAAAGATGGGGGTCCCGTGCAAGCAGTCGCGGCAGAACTCATTGACTTTGTGGCTCCTGAGTGGGAGACTCTTAGGATGCCTGTCTGCATCTTCCACTCTCTCCGGTCCCTCCATCCTGGTCTCTTCACTGTCTTCCACTTTTCCTAGATGTGATTCCTGCTGCCCCACTGCTTCCTCTGGTACTGGTGTTGTGAGAGAAAGGAGGCCCAGGGAGGTTAAGTAACTTGTCTGAGGTCGCCCAGCTCATCAGTGAGGGAGTCATGATCAGACCCAGGCCGTCCCATATCAGAGCCACTCTGCTGAAATGCCTCCCAGGAGTTCATTGTGGGCCGCTGGGTTTTAGTCCCTTAGATTTCAGTTCACTATAAGAACTGCTTTTAAAAGAGGTTCCAAAATAGAAAGGGTTTTCTTATTGGCCAGTGACTTCTCTGTTCATAGAGGCATCTAAGCAGATGCTGAGTTGGGATTCCTGCGTTGGGCAGGTAGGTGGCTGGACTCATCTGCCCCTCAAGATCCTCATCCTTCGAATGCCGTCATGTTCTACTGAGCAGTCATCTGAGTTAATAATTCTCTCTACTCCTCTGTGAAATATCCAGATGAGAGGTTGATACTATTGATCAGCTCTTATTCATCTCTAGTTAACTTAATTCCTTAGGTATTAGTTATTGGGTGACCAGGAGGGACTGGGTGAAATTAGAAATAGGAAGCTCAGCAGAGCATGGGGCGGCAGATCAGACAGGAAGTCTCTGGGGAAGGGGTTGGGGAGGAGTCTGTGGACAGTTTGGAGCACCGAACTGGTGTCTTTTTGCCAGGCAGCTTTGAGAAAGTGACAGTGCTCTGCGTCTTGGGTGTGTTCACATATCAGACATTGAGAGCTTTCGGTAGAGGTTGCAGGTTACTGTTGAGTGGGGCTGTTTTCACAATTGTTTGAAAACAAAGCCATACAGACTATGCTTTCCTGCTGTCCTGCCAAGAGGAGGGAGGAAGTTTGACCCATGTCGTGTGCTCTGCACCCTTACCTCCTCCCAGGGCCTGTGTGGCTATTTTAGCCCTTTAGGTGCTGTGCTGAAATTGCCTGAGGGTATTTTCTAAAAGTTTGTGACCTGGGGATTGATTTCCACTCCTCTTCTGCTCACTCGGTTTTGGTTAGAGGGTTTGCTAGCGTGGTAATCTGTAACTCCTCCGATCCGTGTTCAGCTCTGTTGGACCCTGTGGTGTTGAGTGTGTTGTGGATGATGGATTCTCACGTAGCAGCTTCAGTCCTGAGGCCGATGAGAACTGTCTCAGATTCCCTGGCTGCTTTGGTGTCTCAGACTCTTGCCGAAGTCCTCATTCCTGAGCGTAGGAAGAAGGGCAGTAACCCAATCAGGAAGGACAGCATGGGGCACCATACAGGGTCTTTAGGCTGCTGTGTGTTCCTAGGACAGAGCAGAAGTTTGCAGATCACATGAAGAAAAAGAGCGAAGCCAGCAGTGAATTTGCAAAGAAGAAGTCCATCCTGGAGCAGAGGCAGTACCTGCCCATCTTTGCAGTGCAGCAGGAGCTGCTCACTATTATCAGGTAACTTCACCCGGGGCCCAAGAATCTAGTGTCAAATCAGGGGTGCCCTTGGTCTCCCATGTTTACCCAGGAGCTCTTTTTCTTTTGTGCATTGCACCCAATGGAGAAGGGAAATAATTTTTTCCTCTGACCTCATGCCTGGGGTACACTGCACAAAGTAACGGGATGTCACCATTTTGTTTTAGCTCACCTGTTTAAACCTCACTATATTCCAGACGTTTCCGGTGGTATCCCAGTAAGAGGCTGTTTTCCCAGTGAAATTCTCCCTTCTAAACTGGCATGCTCCCTGGATAGCTAGTCACGGGAATAGGAGGTAGCGGAGGCTTCTCGAAGGCTGGGCGTTGGCCTTCCACTTTGGCTGATAAGTCCTTTGCCTCCTTGTCCTTGTAGAGACAACAGCATCGTGATTGTGGTTGGGGAGACAGGGAGTGGTAAGACCACTCAGCTGACACAGTACCTGCATGAAGATGGTTACACGGACTACGGGATGATTGGGTGTACCCAGCCCCGGCGTGTAGCTGCCATGTCAGTGGCCAAGAGAGTCAGTGAAGAGATGGGGGGAAACCTTGGTGAGGAGGTGAGTGGGCGTGGGGGCTGAGTCATGTTGTTATTCCCTGGTAGCCTCCACCCATTTGTGCCAAAGGGTGTGATCTGCTAAGACCCGGACCCCAGTACGGGGTGTGCTGGTGGTGAGCCGGTGGCCAGGGCGTCTGAGCCATCTCTCTGACCTCCAGGTGGGCTATGCCATCCGCTTTGAAGACTGCACTTCAGAGAACACCTTGATCAAATACATGACTGACGGGATCCTGCTCCGAGAGTCCCTCCGGGAAGCCGACCTGGATCACTACAGTGCCATCATCATGGACGAGGCCCACGAGCGCTCCCTCAACACTGACGTGCTCTTCGGGCTGCTCCGGGAGGTGAGGGCTGTGTGGTTTGGTGTCTCTGCGCATGGGGTGTTGACCGGTGCACCACCAGTAGCTAGTGGGGTGCTCCAGGTGGGCTGAGGGGTTCTCCGGCAGGCCGGAGTTTCCTGAGGCCTCTGGTTGCAGAGTTCACATTCGGGTTGTAGTTTATGCTGTTCTTGCCCTGCTGAGGGTGACTCGGGGTTTTCTGGGCAGTTGCTCCATTGCTTCAGTCTTCAGGATTGGTAAGAATCGAATAGGCCTGTTCGTCAGCTTTGGCTTCTGTTTCCTCGGGGGTGGTGCTGATGGGACTGGGGCAGGAGCCAAGGGTCCCCACCATGGAGGCCTCTGAGCCGCCTCTTCTCTCAGGTGGTGGCTCGGCGCTCAGACCTGAAGCTCATCGTCACATCAGCCACGATGGATGCAGAGAAGTTTGCTGCCTTTTTTGGGAATGTCCCCATCTTCCACATCCCTGGCCGTACCTTCCCTGTTGACATTCTCTTCAGCAAGGTATTGAGGCCACCATGTTACGAACTGACCCTTCCGTGCCATGCAGTTCTTTGATGAGAAGCCGGCTGGAGGGTGGGTAGGGGACTGGGTTGGAGAAGATTTCTTGGGGACCATGGGGCAAATGGGGCAGCCTGCAGCTCTGGGGCTCAGGGGGACCAAGGACTCTGCTCTGGGTGAGGTTTCGTTTCATTGTTTCTTTGGGGCTGAAGTACAGGGCCCAGGGAGGCACTGTGCCTTCTTGTGGAGGCCTCGCAGTCAGGCCCATCTGGAGGTGACACTTAAAGTCCATGGCTGCAGCCCAGAGCAGTGCCTGGGCCACAGGGCTCCCAAGGGATGCCTGGCCTGCGCTTCTAGTACCTCCCTCTGACTGTGTCCCCACTGCTGTTGCAGACCCCACAGGAGGATTACGTGGAGGCTGCAGTGAAGCAGTCCTTGCAGGTACACCTGTCGGGGGCCCCTGGGGACATCCTTATCTTCATGCCTGGCCAGGAGGACATTGAGGTACGTGCCTTGGTCACGACTGTGATGAGTGGGTGTGTCCTGCATATGAAAGGTTAGGGTTCCAGTGTCTCACAGCTTCTCCCTGGGCTCTCAGGTGACCTCAGACCAAATTGTGGAGCATCTGGAGGAACTGGAGAATGCACCTGCCCTGGCCGTGCTGCCCATCTACTCTCAGCTGCCTTCTGACCTCCAGGCCAAAATCTTCCAGAAGGTGTGACAGCAGGAATGTCCAGGAATGGCTTCTGGAGTTCTCTAAAGGAAGCGAGAGGGGATGTGACTGTCCTGGCAAGGGGTGGGCTAGGAGGTGGGCTTTTCCCCCTCGTGAAGCCTTTCCTGTCTCGAGGGACTCATTTTTCCCTCCCTGTATGTCCTGCTCTAGGCTCCAGATGGCGTTCGGAAGTGCATTGTTGCCACCAACATTGCCGAGACGTCTCTGACTGTTGACGGCATCATGTTTGTTATCGATTCTGGTTATTGCAAATTAAAGGTAAGAGAAGACATGGGAGGCAGGGCCTGGGTCTTCACCAGAAGCTAACTGAGCTGCGGGATGGGAAGCCAGGGCCTTGCTCTGGCCCTGGGATGCGGGGAGCGCGTGGAAGTGGTGGTGGTGGTAGGAGGCTCACGTTGACTCACTGTGCTTGGTTCATTTAACTCGTCTACCTCGATGAGGTAGATAATTTAACAGTAGAGCTCACAGAGCTGGTGTTTGTGGGGAAGACTTCTTCAGGTGTTCATGAGAACATTTCTAGAGGCTCCTAGCTCTTCCTCTGCCATGTGTAGCAACCAGGGCTTGCCTTTGTCTCAGGCCTACCTCCACTTTCCCTTCACTCTGTCCTTTGTCAGCTCTTTGCCATCCCCTCCTAGGTCTTCAACCCCAGGATTGGCATGGATGCTCTGCAGATCTATCCCATTAGCCAGGCCAATGCCAATCAGCGGTCAGGGCGAGCCGGCAGGACGGGCCCAGGTCAGTGTTTCAGGTAGGAGCCCTGTGCTAGCCTGCTTTCCGGGGCAGCGCCGGGGTTGCTGAGCATGGAACCTGGGCGGGGGCGGGCAGGATGCTGGCCCTAGAGTTGGTCCCCAAGGCTGGAAGCTGCTGGCAGGGCTGCCGCTTGTTAGTCCTTTCATCCTATGCTACTGAGGAAGGAAGGAGTGGCTTTCCAGGGAGCTCTGAGGTCTGAGGCCAACTTACATGGATGTACGTAGACTTGCAAGTAATTACAGCCTGCCTCCCTTCAGAGGGTAGGTCTGGACAAATGATGCCGTTGGTTCTTTATTTCTGTTGTTCTCTTTCCCCGTTTTCTTTTCTTTCTTTTTTTTTTTCCAATTAGAGACAGAGTCTTGCTCTGTCACCCAGGCTGAAGTGTGGTGGTACAATCACGGCTCACTGCAGCCTTGATCTCTTGCACTCAAGTGAGCCTCCCACCTCAGCCTCCCAAGTGGCTGAGATTGCAGGCAGGCACCACCACACCTGGCTAATTTTTTTCATATTTTGTAGAGATGGGGTCTTGCTATATTGCCCAGGCTGGTATTGTGAACTTCTGGCTTAAAGCAATTCTCCTGTCTTGGCCTCCCAAAGTGTTGGCATTAGAAGCGTGAACCACTGTGCCTGGCTCTCTGCCCCTTTTTTGTTCCAATTAAAAAAAAAATGTATTCACTATAGAGCATTAGTGACTACAGAAAAATATAAAGAAAATAAAACCCAGCCATGATTCTAGTCCCAGGCACACTGGTTCCAGAAATGAAACAGATGGCTGGGCGCGGTGGCTCATGCCTGTAATCCTAGCACTTTGGGAGGCCGAGGCGGGCAGATCACAAGGTCAGGAGTTCAAGACCAGCCTGGCCAATATGGTGAAACCCCATCTCTACTAAAAATACAAAAATCAACTGGGCGTCGTGGTGGGTGCCTGTAGTCCCAGCTACTCGGGAGGCAGAGGCAGGAGAATCGCCTGAACCTGGGAGGCAGAGGTTGGGCGATAGAGCCAGACTTCGTCTGGAAAAAAAAGGAGAAATGAAACAGGTAAGAGGCCCCAGAAGGGCTGAATTGGCAGGCTGGAGTTTTGAATGGGTGGAAGTCAGTGATTCACTGAGGTAGGGGGTGGGGAGAAGAAATGAGAATGTCCTCCCTCCCTGTGGGATTCCATCTGTACTGGCTTGCCGTGGGGTTTCCTTGTGGTGAGAAGATGGGGTCTTCTCCCCGGCAGGCTCTACACCCAGAGCGCCTACAAGAATGAGCTCCTGACCACCACAGTGCCCGAGATCCAGAGGACCAACCTGGCCAACGTGGTGCTGCTGCTCAAGTCCCTTGGGGTGCAGGACCTGCTGCAGTTCCACTTCATGGACCCGCCCCCGGAGGACAACATGCTCAACTCCATGTATCAGCTCTGGATCCTCGGGGCCCTGGACAACACAGGTGAAGTGGCCCCAGGAGCCTCATGGGTGCTGGCGCTTGACTTCCCTCTTCTCTCTACTGTCCCATCAAATATCTGGGTTTGCTCATCTCTCCTAGGTGGTCTGACCTCTACCGGGCGGCTGATGGTGGAGTTCCCGCTGGACCCTGCCCTGTCCAAGATGCTCATCGTGTCCTGTGACATGGGCTGCAGTTCCGAGATCTTGCTCATCGTCTCCATGCTCTCCGTCCCGGCCATCTTCTACAGGCCCAAGGTGGGGCAGTGGCTGGCTCTCCTCTCTCCCCAGAGGGCTCGAGGAAGCGTCGGAAAGGGGAATGGCTTCTCTCTGTATAACTGAAATGGAACAGAGGGCGGAATCAAAGTTTCTGAAGAATGATTTTGCTGTTCTCGGTTAAGCAGGTTGGGGTAGGGGAAAGGAAGGGCTGGGCCAGTGGTTCTCAGGAAATGCTTTGGAAATTTGCAAGAGCATGTTTTATCTTCTGGTATGGTTGCTCTTGCGCCCTCATGTTTTAGAATAGACCTTTGTAAAAATTGTTTTTCTCAAATTGTCAGGGCAACCTGTTGACATGTTTGAAGTTCTATGTGTGGGTAGTTGGTAGTGTTAGAACCTCTGGGATGTGCTCAGTGGGCCTGGACCCCCCTGTACTTAGAGTGAAGGTTCTTTTTCCCTTCCTAGGGTCGAGAGGAGGAGAGTGATCAAATCCGGGAGAAGTTCGCTGTCCCTGAGAGCGATCATTTGACCTACCTGAATGTCTACCTGCAGTGGAAGAACAATAATTACTCCACCATCTGGTGTAACGATCATTTCATCCATGCTAAGGCCATGCGGAAGGTAGGGGTGGTGGATGAGCAGGATATTGGGATGAGGGGAGGGTCAGGAGGGAAGGAGGTCCCTCCTGGCATCTCGGTGTCCTGCCCTAGGTCCGGGAGGTGCGAGCTCAACTCAAAGACATCATGGTGCAGCAGCGGATGAGCCTGGCCTCGTGTGGCACTGACTGGGACATCGTCAGGAAGTGCATCTGTGCTGCCTATTTCCACCAAGCAGCCAAGCTCAAGGTGAGCCCAGGAGCCCAGGGGGCCCCTCCCGGCCTGAAACCTGTATGAGGGCAAAGTCATCCTTTCTCCTGGTGCGGTTCTGCAGAGCTGGGCTTCCCCCAAAGGCCGTGTCAAGACAGCGTTAAGGGATGGGGTAGCTGCCCAAATGGGTGGTGTTTTCCTGGCATGGCTGCCTGTTGTGTCTCCTCCCTAGGGAATCGGGGAGTACGTGAACATCCGCACGGGGATGCCCTGCCACTTGCACCCCACCAGCTCCCTTTTTGGAATGGGCTACACCCCGGATTACATAGTGTATCACGAGTTGGTCATGACCACCAAGGTGAGTCTTTTCCGAGGCACTTGCATAACGCAGGCCCCCTGTCTGGCCAGGCTTTGAAACCCTTCACTGCCTTCTGGCATGAGCTTTTAGCCTGGGAGCCTTAAGGCCACATGCGTTGCTTTGCGGGGTGTGTGAGGTTAGTTTTCATTTGGGGACTTGGGGAGGCTCTGCACAGGGTTGACCTCTAGACTGCAGTGACCTCAGCTGTGCGGGCAGGATCGTTCCCCACTTGCTGCTTGGGATGAGCAACTCCTCTTGGTGTCATCAGCAGGATTTTCAGAGAGGTTGGGCGTTTTCTCTTAGACACTAGGGGGCATTTTCTCAGGTGTGGAGGAGTTTGGATGGGAGTATCTGGGGTTTTTCCCTTCCTTGTTTCAGCCTTGCAGAGTCAGGGATTGGCCCCTTCCCATGTGGCTCCTAATTATGGAACCACTCTGGGAGGGACATTGGCCCTCCTGTGACCCTCGCCTCCCTGCCCTTCTGCCCACAGGAGTACATGCAGTGCGTGACCGCTGTGGATGGGGAGTGGCTGGCGGAGCTGGGCCCCATGTTCTACAGCGTGAAACAGGCGGGCAAGTCACGGCAGGTGAGGTTCTGTGCTCCGCGAGGGTGCTGTTTGCTTGTGGGGTCAATGTTCCTTCCACTGGGTATTGCAGAATTGTGATCATCCAACCCACTTACTTCTCTCTGCAGACATAAAGGCTGCGATCTAGCAGGCTGGTCTGTGATTCCCCACCACCCACTCCAAAAACCAAAAAACTCATTATTGAAAAGTCCAAATATTCATAAAAGTGGGAAAAACAGTACAACAGGCCACCATGAATTCAATGCCGTGCCTCTATAATTGTCAACATTTGTTCAGTTTCACTATTCCTACCCCCATCCACACACACCCATTTTTTTTCTGGAATATTTTAAAGCTTATCTCATATATCATATTATTCATCCATAAATACTTGAGTATGTGTCTCTGACTAAAAGGACTTAAAATTTTAAATAGAGCATCTGCGCCATTATCACTCATAAAGAAATGAATACTGAATGTCACCTAAGTCTTCAGTCCGCATTTGGATTTCTCTGTTTGTCTCAAAGATAACTTCTTATGATCGATTGGCTTGAATTAGGATCCAGACATTGCAACTGCTTATGTGTGTTAACAGTTTCATTCTAGAACAGGCTCCACCCCACGCTTTTTCCATGACATTGATGTATTGGAGCCGCCAGGTTGTTTGTCCTGTCAGATAGTCCGTATGATGTATTTGCCTCATCACTTGCTCACAGTGGTGTCAACCTGTGCCTGTGTTTCATGCACTTGCTGTAAGCTGGTGATGAGTCCAGTCGCTCTATGAGATCGTGGCTCAGCTGTGTGTGGCAGGGATGCCTGCCTGTGGCGCTCTGAACCTCCTCTTAGATGCCTTCAGGAGGTGTGTGAGGTCTGGTGGCCCCACCTTTGCTGTTGGGAGGATGGATGAGGGGCCACAGTGGTGGCAGCCTGCCCCTTCCCTGATAGGTTTTCACTGCTCCTCCATCTCCTTGAGGTTTTAGTGTCTGTCGATAGCCGTCACCTAGATCTATATTTAGGGTTGCAAAATGGTGCTGGGCTTCGGCTTACCCCTTTCGTAGCATCATTCTCCCGACACCAGGCTCTCCTGCATCTTATGCCTGTCAGTTCCAGCCAGCAGGTAACATCTTCCCTGTTTTTCTGTACTTCCTGGCATAGTTGTGAACTTGATTTTTCAAAAAAGAAGGACATGTAAGTACTTCCTGGACTGGGGGATGACTGAGTTAGGACTGATTGTTCCGTGTTTTAAGTCAATCTTGAGTCAATGAAAAAAGCAGGCCTCAGCTGTAGAAGAGAAGGTAGCTTTGGTACTGGGGCAGGCAGCCATGTGGAGCACTGGGCTGGTGGATGCAGCGCCTGGTTTGTTGCAGGGATTTGGGTGCTGACGAAGCCTCCTTCCTTAGTGGTCCCCAGTAGGCTCAGCCGGGTCTGTCCCTCTTCGATAGGAGAACCGTCGTCGGGCCAAAGAGGAAGCCTCTGCCATGGAGGAGGAGATGGCGCTGGCCGAGGAACAGCTGCGAGCAAGGCGGCAGGAGCAGGAGAAGCGCAGCCCCCTGGGCAGTGTCAGGTGAGCTCCAGCCTTGGGACTCTGGCTGGGGTGGCACCCATCCCAGGAGGCTGCCAGAGACCAGGCCCTGATGCAGGGTCAGGATTTATGGGAAGGTACATGTGTGAAGGCGAACTGGTGACAGAAGTTGCTTGTGCATTGGGTGGTCACATGGACAGGTGGGAGGAGTTCCCAACAGTTTTAAAGGGGCGACTGTACGCCTGCAACTCCCAGTCATCGGCAGGGATTCAGGGCCTGAGGTGGCCTGGAGTAGCAGAGTGGGTCTCACAGCTTTACTCACAAGCAAGAGGGTTGGAAACCACAGTGCAGTGGGGAGAAGTGCGCCTTGGGCTTCTGTGTCTGTGCTGGTCCCCGGAGTTAGGCCAGACTTGACAGGTCGCAGGCACAGTCCTCCGTGAGACCACCCTCACTTCAGATACCAGCTGCAGGTGTGGACACCATCCTCACTTCCAGCCAACCCTCGACAAATCTGGGGATCCCTGTGGACCCCTGCAGGTTCAGTATTTGCTAGAATGACTTCCAGAACTCCGGAGAGTGCTGTACTTACCATTATAGATTTATTATACCAAAAAGGTACAAATTAAAGCAGCCAAAGGGAGAGATGTATAGAACAAGGTCTGGGAGGGTCTCAAATGTGAAGCCTCGTTCGTCCTCAGGAACACGTCCCCACATGGCACACTGATGCATGACAGTATGACAGGTTATCGCCAGCCAGGAAGCTCACCTGAACTTCAGTGTCCGGAGTTCTTATCATCGGGGTTCGGTTCAGGTACTTAGGCACGAATGACTGAATCATTGTCACGTGGTAGCGCTCAGCCTCGAGTCCCCTCTCCTCTCCAGAGGTGAGGCTGATAGCACGTGGCTCAGAGCACCCGTGCTACCCCATGCCGAGAGGCCAGCCCGCCTTGAGTCATCTTGTTGGATAAACTCAAGGGGCTCACCAAGAGTCACCTCATTAGCATAATCTCTCAGAAGAGGGCTGAGGGGCCCCATGAATAGCAGACACTCCAGTCACTTGGGAAATTCCAAGGGTTTAGAGTTGCCTCCCAGGCATTGGGGACAAAGGCAGGCTGCTGTGCAGTTGGAGTGGCGGCAGTGAGGTGGAGGGAAGCTGCCTTTGTAGCTCCCCTAGGGGCTGTGGGAGGAGTTGTTAAAATCTGATCTAAAGCATTTCGGAATGAGTGAGCTTCCTTGATTACATCGCCAGTCGAACATGGGGGCGGCAGGGGAGTGGGAATGTGCCCGGGAGGAGATCCCTCGGCCCCAGAGCTTCCCACCATGGGTTAGGAACAGTAAGTCCTGGGGCTCTGCATCCTCCTGCCCTCCCTGCTGGGGGTGAGGGCACGGTGTTTCCTGATCCCTCCTGCTGTGTCTCCAGGTCTACGAAGATCTACACTCCAGGCCGGAAAGAGCAAGGGGAGCCTATGACCCCTCGCCGCACGCCAGCCCGCTTTGGTCTGTGAGCTGAGGCTGTCCCCAGAGAGGATGGCAGCAGGTATTGGGTCCTGAGCCCTCTGGCGGGAGCCCTGAGGCTGCGGACAAAGCCCTTTCATCTGAGGACTTTCATCTGTGCACATCACGGCCCCCTAGGGCAGTTCCTGCTGGACTAGACTCTGGCAGAGGAGGTGGAGTTCTTCCATGCAGGAGTGTGATATGGCAGGAGCCGGGCTGCAGAGCATCCGAGATGCTGCCGGGAGGTGGCTGGACCCATTGCATCCAAATAAACTGACCCAGGACGCTTGGCGTATGTGTGACTTGGTTGTGGCTGTGTCTTTTTTAATCCTTGTGTAAAGCAGCAAAAAAGACCTAAAGGGAATTGTAATTTGGTTATAATTCAGGATTTGGAAATAAATTTATTATTTGTAAAACATGACTGCATGTCTGACTTTTTCCTTCACCCCCTTAAATCATGTAGTAAAGGTGGGGGAGGGGGGCAGAAGCCTGCCCTGACTTCCCTTGCATGGGTCGTCCTGGATCCACCCTTATTAATGCACAAGGCAGGCCGAGCTCTGAGGGTGCCCAGCTGCTCCTGAGACTGGGGGGCAATGGCAGGTCCGCCTTGATGGCCAGGTCATGGGAGGGAGATGCGCAGGAGTCCGCCCCAGCCTTCCCCGGCGTGGTTTGGCTGCTTGAAAGAGGTCCATGTGATTGCTCTGGATGGCAGAGGGTAACGGTTGTCCATTGACTGAAAAACAGTGCAAAATGTAGCTTATTCATTTTCATGTAAAAGGTGACCCTTACACCAGAATCACTAGTCTTTTCTCTTTTTAAGCAGTCTCTTAAGTCTGCTGAGGTGGCTTTTGGGGGGTTTGGCCCTTTGCACTAACCATGGTCTGTATGCTGTGATTCCTCCGGGCCGGGCTTCTGCCAGGTGTGCTGGTTGGCAGGTTCTGTGTTGGGGTTGAGTCACAGACAGGATTGGGGCTCAGAAGCACCTTGATACCAGGCCAGTGCCGGCGTGAGCCCTGTGGTGTGTGGCTTGCCGTGCTGTTCTGACCCCTTTCTCCCTCTGTTCCTGGGATTTGCATTTCCATGTTATAACTCAATAAATGTTAAAATGTAAGTCAATTTTGTGGGTGAGCTCAGAGGCCTAGCTTTGCCAGCCAGCACCAGCTACCACCTCTGCCTCCATTCTCCTTACCTCTAGCCCCCTTGGGGGAATGCAGGTGGAAATGGGCTTTTCAGGGCTCCGTAGTGAAGAGAGGGCTGCCAGCACTTTGCCTAGGAAGCCTTCTAATCTAGGCCCTAGGTTGGAGGACTAGGAGAAGTTGGCTGATGTGTGACCTATTTACAGACTCAGGCAATGGAGTAGGAAAAACATTGACGTTCCAATTAAGTTATTAATAAGCTGTGACCTTGGTCACAAACTCACTAAGTCCCTTAGATAAAAAGGTCAGAGAGGCTATTAAAACATTGGGTCCAACTCAACCTTCTTATTTAAAAGCAAGGAACACCTGGTGAAGGATACTTGGTACATGTGGGCGCTACAAGAGGAATGGAGGGGTCCCCTGCCCGCAGCAGCTCCCCTTGAATCTGCCGCGGTACTGGAGCTTCTGCTCGAGGCTCTGTCTCTTCTTGTGTTTCCAGTAGTTTTTTAAATTACTGACCCTTTCCATTCAGATCTTCCTTAAAGTTCCTTCCAGCTTTAATATTCTGATTCTGTCTTTTTTTCAGATGGCAACTGATTGTTTTTTTAGAGGTACAAAAGCATACCTATGACAACAGCATGGTCTCTAACTAGCACCATGGCCCCATAGTGGACTACTGAGTCTGGCCGACACTTGTTATTTTCTGTATTTTTTTAGTGTAGCCATCCTAATGGCTGCTATCTCACTGCAGTTTTGATTTGCATTTCCCTAATAATTAGTGGTATTGAGCATCTTTTCATGTGCTTATTATTGGCCATTTGTTTATCTTCTTTGGAGAAATGTCTCAAGTCCTCTTCCCATTTTTTTTTTGCATTAGTAACTTTTTTTTAAATTTTAAATTTCAACTTTTATTTTAGATACAGAGGGTACATGTGCAGGTTCGTTATATGGGTATACTGTGTGATGTGGAGGTTTCGGGTATGGTTCCCATCACCCAGGTAGTGAGCATAATTCCCAACAGGTATTTTTTCAACCCATTTCCCTCTCTCTACTCCCCCAAACCAAGTAGTCCACAGTGTTTATTGTTTCTATATTTATGTCCCTGTGTGCTCAATGTTTAGCTCCCACTTATAAGTGAGAAGAGGTGGTATTTGATTTTCTGTTCCTGCATGAATTAGCTTAGGATTATGGCCTCCAGCTGCATCCATGTTGTTGCAAGGGACATGATTTCATTCTTTTCCATGGCTGCGTAGTACCCCATGGTGTGTACGTACCACATTTCCTTTATCCAGTCCACCACTGCTGGGCACCTAGGTTGATTCCATGTCTTTGCTATTGTGAATAGTGCAGCAATGAACACGTGAGTGCATGTGTCTTTTTGGTAGAATGATTTATTTTCCTTTGGGTATACACCTACTCATGGGATTGCTGGGTCAAATGGTAGGTCGGTTTTAAGTTATTTGAGAAACCTTGAAACCTTTTTTCACAGTGGCTGAACTAATTTACATTCTCACCAGCAGTATATAAGCATTGCCTTTTCTCACCAGCCTTGCCAGCATCTGTTATTTTTTGACATTTTAGTAATAGCCATTCTGACTGGTGTGAAATAGTATTTCATTGTGGTTTTGATTTGCATTTCTCTGATGATAAGTGATGATGAGCATTTTTTCATATTTTCGTTGGCTGGTTGTATGTCTTCTTTTGAGAAGTGTCTGTTCATGTCCTTTGCCCATTTTTAATGGGGTTATTTGTTTTTTGCTTGATTTGTTTAAGTTCCTTGTAGATTCTAGATATTAGGCCTTTGTCAGCTGTGTAGTTTGTGACTATTTTCTCCCACTCTGTAGGTTGTTTATTCTGCTGATAGTTTCTTTTGCTGTGTAGAAGCTCTTTAGTTTATTACGTCCCTCCTACCAATTTTTGTTTTTGTTGCAATTGTTTTTGCTGACTTAGCCAAAAATTCTTGGCCGAGGTGGATGTCCAGAACGATTTCTTTTTTTTTTGAGATGGAGTCTTGGTCTGTTGCCAGGCTGGAGTGCAGTGGCTTGATCTCGGCTCGCTGCAACCTCTGCCTCCTGGGTTTAAGCGATTCTCCTGCCTCAGCCTCCCAAGTAGCTGGGACTACAGATGAGCGCCACCATGCCCAGCTAACTTTTGTATTTTTAGTAGAGACAGGGTTTCACTATGTTGGCCAGGATGGTCTCGATCTGTTGACCTCGTGATCCGCCTGCCTCGGCCTCCCAAAGTGCTGGGATTACAGGTGTGAGTCACCACACCTGACCTGATAACGATTTCTTTTTCGTTTTTTTTTTTTTTTGAGTAGGAGTCTTGCTCTGTCACCAGGCTGGAGTGCAGTGGCGCCATCTCGGCTCAATGAAAGCTCCGCCTCCCAGGTTCACGCCATTCTCCTGCCTCAGCCTCCCTAGTAGCTGGGACTACAGGCACCCGCCACCATGCCCGGCTAATTTTTTTTTCATTTTTTTAGTAGAGACGGGGTTTCACCATGTTAGCCAGGATGGTCTTGATCTCCTGACCTCGTGATCTGCCCGCCTCGGCCTCCCAAAGTGCTGGGATTATAGGCGGTAACGATTTCTATAGTTTGAGGTCTTGCATTTAAATCTTTAATCCATCTGGAGTTGATTTTTGTATATGGTGAAAGATAGGGGTCCAGTTTCATTCTTCGGCATATGCTCCGCCCATTTTCAAACCGGGTCGTTTGTTTTCTTGACTTTTAGGAGTTCTCTATATATTCTGGATATTAGCATCAGAGATATGATTTGGAAATATTTTCTCTTATTCTGTGGGTTGCCTTTTTACTCTGTTGGTATTGCTTTTGATGCACAAAATTTTTAAAGTTTCATGATGTCTAATTTGTCTATTATTTCTTTTGGTGCCTGTGCCTTTGGTGTTATACCCAGGAAATCACTGCCAAATCCAATGTCATGAAGGGTTTGTTCTATATTTTCTTCTATGAGTTTTATAGTTTTAGTGGCTACATTTAGGTCTGTGATTCATTTTGAGTTAATTTTTGTATATGGTATTAGGTAAGGGCACAGCCTTATTCTTTTGCATGCAAATATTCTGTTTTCCCAGCACCATTTGTTGGAAAACAAAATAAAAAACTATCCTTTCCCCATTTCATAGTCTCAGCATCCTTGTCAAAATTATTTGACCATATATGTGAGGGTTTATTTCTGGGATTCTTCCTAGTCTATTCCACTGGTTTGTATGTCTGTCTTTTGATTTATGTGGCAGTACCACACTATTTTGATTACTGCAGGTTTGTAGTAAGTTTTGAAATCAGTAAGTTCTTCAGCTTTGTTCTTCTTTTTTGAGACTGTTTTGGCTATTGGGATCCCTTAAGATTCCATGTGAGTTTTAGGTTGAGTTTTCCTATTTCTGCAAAAAAAAAAAAAAAAAAAAAAAAAAAAAAATAATAATTGGGATTTTGACAGAGATTACATTGAAACTGTAGATCACCTTATGTATATTGACATCTTAATATTAAGTCTTTCAATCCATGAACATGGGATGTGTTTCTGTTTATGTCTTCTTTAATTTCTCTCGGTAATGTTTTACAGTTTTCATTGTACAAGTCTTTTACTGCCTTGGTTAATTCCCAAGTATTTGTTTATTTTTGATGCTATTATAAATGAAGTGAAATTATTTTTATAATTTCCTTTTCAGATTATTAATTGTTATATAAACCTGCAGTTCATTTTTGTGTGTTGACTTTGTATCCTGTTACTTTGCTGAATTCATTATTAGCCCTACCAGGCTTTTTTTGGGAGGGGAGGTGGTCTGTAGATTCTTTACGGTTTTTTACATATAAGATCTGTGAACAGAGATAATTTTACTTTTTCCTTTCCAATTTGAATCCCTTTTATTTCTTTTTCTTGCCTAATTGCTCTGGCTAGAACTGCCAGTACAATGCTGAACAGATGTGGCAAAGTAGGTGTTCTTGCCTTATTCCTGATCTTAGAGGAAAAGCTTTTAGTCTTTCACCATTGAGTATGATGTTTGTTCTGGGTTTTTCATATGTGGTTTTATAATGCTGAGGTAGTTTCCTTCTAATCCTCATTTGTTGAGTGCTTTCTAAAAAAAAATTCATAAAAGAGTGTTGTTGTAACCATTTCTTTTTATTATCAGCTGTTCGAACTACTTTTTTAGGAACTCAATTCCTTGGTTATTTCTTAACAAATTATAGGCAGGCAACACTCAGTTTCCCTGCCCTTCCTCCTATCTTTAGAGAAACTGCACTTCTCTAAGTCCATCCCCTGTACTCAGCTAGGTCTTCTGCCTGGCTGGGCTGTCAAAGTCAGATGGCTGGGTAATATGTTGATGTTTTTCTGGCTCTGCCACCAATTAGCTCTCCATAACTGACTACCTGCTTTGCTCTGGTGTAATCACTCCACAGGAAGTGAAAGATAACTTGGGAAAGATGTACCACATTAAAAGAAACCAGAGATTGTAATTTTGGCCAAAATATATGAAATATTTTGGTAAATTATAGAGATAAAATCCCTTTTTAGTAGATGAGGCTGGGGATTTTAATGGCATTGAACTTTTGTTTGAATAAAGTAAGCCACAGGCTAGATTAGTACTAGATTTTTCAATCTTTGTTTTCTCTAGAAAATAAACCCACATTCTAAACCACATGAAGGAACATAGTTCAAAGAGCTTAAACAGACAACAACTATCGTAACAGAAACTACCAGAGATGCCTGTCACTCCTAGCTCACACTGCATTTCTGGAACTGCCCTTCCCAAGTTCTATCGGGGGCATCCTATATAACTTGTTAGTGTTCCTTTTAGCAGTGAATTTTCTTGGCCTTTATTAGGCCCAGGAAGAATATCGAAGAATCATTGCTAACCAGTGGGTTTCTTCCTTCACTTTTACTGTCCCCCTCAGAAATGTAAGATCTTTCATTTCTTTCTCTTATATTAATATTACACTAGTAGTGAGTTGTCTCCACTTCCTATAGACTAGAAATATAAATTCTAGACATGTACTCAGTTTAACAAAATCCTACCAGAATAAAATATTAGCTGTCCTTGGAGTTTGTCATAATGGAATTTCACTTGTATTGAGGTGGCTGGGGAGGAAAATACAATTGTTAGAAGAAGGAATGGAATGTGGAGCCCAGGGGCAGGGGGCAGGTGGTGTGCTCTTGCTCCCCCATTTGAAAAATACAGCCCTTATTGCTCTTCCTTTCTTTGGGGTCTCAGGATTACTTCCTTTTTGGAGTTCTTAGACTTTTTCTTTTTAAGTTTCAGATAGTAATGGAAAGAAAATAAAAAAGGTGCTACTTATCACTTTTGTTCGTTTAAAAACGAATCCAGAAGCTTGCATTGGGGATTATGGCTTCCCCGTATATGGAAGAGACCAGTATCTGTTAAAATCCAGAGAAAACAGGATGAACATGTTGCTGGGGGATTGCGGGGCAGAAATGTCTGCAAGACACCAAGAGCTCACCACAACCGCTGTGCTCATGCTCATGTCTTTATTTCATATTTGGGCCTGGAGATGGACGTATGCTTCTAAAGCTCACTCCATGGCAGGAAGTGGGCAAAACTCAACGAACGTTAGTGTCTTGCAAAATAGGCTGGGACCGTGATATATTCCCGTAAGAGCTGATCCAGGTCAAGAGAGAGGGAGGGCTGGGAACTCACTGTCCTCGGAAGAAACACGCGTGGAAATGCTGCTCATGGCTAGATGTGGATTCTAGCAATACGAGGAACCTGAGGGAACAGGGAGGAAATGAGAGTTTTGATTTGAGGAGATTCCTTGAGGAATCACCTCGTTAATTGTGACTGAGGTGACTCCTCAAGGACTGGCCGCATGGCCAGGCAGCTCTGCCTGGTGACTGCCGCAGGTGACCTCTTGCCTCTGGGGTAACATGGAGTTTCCAGGTGGCAGGAAAGGTGGCTGTGGACCCAGGCTAGGTAGGTGGCTGGGGTGCTCTTACAGGGTTTCCAGATGTAGAAGGAAGATGCCTCTACTTCCTATTCCCTAAAACGGGTCTGGGTCAGGGGAAGGGACAGGTCTGAGATGTGAGGCACTTGGGTATGCTTCAGATGTTCTTAGATCAGAAGGGGTCTTAATTTGCCTCCTCCCTTTACAGATGTGAAAACAACAATCTTTGGTCCCAAGTAGCTAAGAAAACGACTTGAGGTCACAAAAGGCCTATTTTCTTCTTCCTACTTGAATTCTCAATCCAGTGATTTAAAGAAAAAAACACACTTATTTTATTGACAAATGGCAGACGTACCCGGGCAATGGGGCATCCCGATGTACTTGGTGAGGTCCATTCTTTGACCCCCATCCTGGGGCAACCCCTTCCAGCCCAAGGCGCCACACACTTTCCCTCTCTGTGTGGACTCTGTTTTGCTCGGGCCTAGGGCTTTGGTGCATAGCCTTGTGTTCTCAGCTTTCGTCTTCTTATCTTCTATTTCCTTCTTCAGCTTCTTGTTTTCCTGCTGCAGGTGGACCATTACATTGTGGAGGTGGCTGTGGGAAGGAGAGGAAGGACGGGTTGTGTTGGGGCTGCTGGCTCTGCTTGGTTCCCTGCTAGAAAGGACAGATAAAGGTGTCACAGGGAAGACAGCACAGACGCCCATGTCTGTTCAGAGCTGGGCTGTTACATGTGCTCTGTAGAAATGGAGGCCTACATGTGTACTGTGCAAGAAGCCCAGGCCTGGGGTCCGAGTAGACCAGGAGCTGGTACTCCTGCCCAACTCTGCCAGTTCTGGGCCTGTTTTCTTATCTGTCAGACGGGGACAGTCAGGCCTGGCCTGACTGCTGGGGTTCATATAAGGATCCGGTTTGATAAATGACAGAAATTTGACTTGAAGAACCAGAAGGCTGTTAGGGACAACTGTGATCATGTGTCCTCGGGTTCTCATGGCCATGCCTTGGAAACATTCTCACCCAGCACCAATGCCAAAGCCCGCATTCTCTCTGCTTCCCTTTGCTGAAGAGTCGGGAGCATAGGAGATCCCAGCTCTGTCAAGAACTTGGGCAAGTTACTTATCCCCATTTTACAGATGAGGAAATGGAGGCTGCCATGCAGAGGAGGGGAAAGATAATTTAGCACATTCCCCATGCCTCAATAAACGGCAACTTTTATTATCACTGTTGTGTGTCTCCAAACGAATGTTGAGGGCAGTGGGTGAAAGTGGGCTCTGAAACCAGACTTCCCACATTGGAATTGTGACTCTGCCACTTACTAGTTTTGAGACCAGGGGCAAGTTACTTAGTTTCCCAGGTCCTCTCTTTCCTCATCCATAAATGGGGATCATGACTATACTGAACGCAGGAGGTCTTATGAAGATGAAATGAGCTCATACGTGTTAACACTTAAGATAGTGCCTCACACACAGCAAAAATATGTATTAGTTGAGCTACTATTATCATTAAAAGATGCTTTTCTTTCAAATAAAAACAGGAAAACTCAAGAGTGAGTTCATTGTAAAAAAGAACTTCCTGGACTTGGCACAACAGAAGAAAAAGACTGACGTTATCTGTTACCTTCAGAGTCTGACAACTTTTCTTTTAGTTACACCCCAGTAAAAAGTTTCATGGTCTTTCCTAGAGGAAATCAAGTAGAGAATTCATCCTCAACCTCTTCTCTGGGCATATGCTCTACCCTTTTCCTCTCTACAAAGCTGGCCAACTTTGAGGATGCCTCTTCCCATGCCCAGTAGCCCCTCACTCCCAGTGCCCCTGGGTCTGGAGAGGGGGTCTCAGCAGTGCCCTCCTTCCCTGGCTCTCTGGCCCCCTCCTGTCAGCATCTCGAAAGCCTTCAATATCCCATACAGTTCATCCACGTCCTGGTTTCTTAATTCCTTGGCCTCCTTATTCCAAAGGTCTCAGCCTTCTCTTCAACTCTGCCATGTACCCAAGGCCAAAGCCTAGAATAGGGCTTTCCACCTGGGGTGCCACGAATGGATTCCAGGTGTTTGGAGATGCCCACAGCCCTAGGGGCAAAGCTCTGGGGCAGCCACTGCTTGGTCAGCTTTGTCACAAGTATGCCAAACAGATGTGGTTATTTTTATCCTTCTTTTTTAGAGATGGGTTCTCATTCTGTCACCCATGCCAGAGTGCAATGGTGTGAACATAGGTCACTGCAGCCTCAATCTCTTGGGCTCAAGTAATCCTCCCGCCCCAGCCTCCCAATTAGCTGGGACTGTAGGTGTGCACCACCACGCCTGGCTAGGCTAATTCTTAATTTTTTTTTGTAGAGGCAGGGCCTTGCTGTTACCCAGGATAGTCTCAAACTCCTGGCCTCAAGTGATCCTAAACTGTGGTCATTTTCTTTTTCACTTTTATTTTATTTTCACTTTTATTAGGTTCAGGGTACATGTTACATCAGCAAGCTCATGTCACAGGAGTTTGTTGTACAGATTATTTCCTCACCCAGGAATTAAGCCCAGTACCCAATAGTTATCTTTTCTGCTCCTCTCCCTCCTCCTACCCTCCCCTGTCAGATAGACCCCAGTGTCTGTTGTTTCCTTCTTTGTGTTCATAAATTCTCATCATTTAGCTCTCACTTACAAGTGAGAACATGTGGTATTTGGTTTTCTATTCCTGTGTCAGTTTGCTAAGGATAATAGCCTCTAGCTCCATCCATGTTTCCACAAAGACATGATCTCATTCTTTTTGATAGCTGCACAGTATCCATGGTGTTATGTAAGGTACTGTCGTTTTCTAAGTGTTCCCTGAGAAAAGGATGGGAAGCGCTGTCCTAAGGCTTGTTGTTAGTTGTTACTTTGCCACCTCCAAAATCTCGGTTTTAGATCTTCATACCTTCACCTCCATTCTCAAACTAGTAACACTCCTCGCATACCTCCCTCTTAATGGACCCAGCTTTGACCATGAGGGGAAGCAAGACCAGAGGCCCCCAGATGAACAGGTGGAACAGAAGGGCTCCTCCAACCTGGCCTGCTCACCTGATGATTTCACGAAGAGATGTTCCTTGTTTGTTCCTTCACTTGGGATCTGTTAGAGCAGCTCAGCTCCTGCCCTAACTAATCCAGTCTGCCTTTCACTGCCTGTTCCCTGCTTAGCACCCTTGACCTCTGAGAACCATGAGAGCAGGAAGGAACAAAAAGACTACTAAACTCCCTTTGGATTTTTGGTGAGAGAACTAAGGCTCTGAGAGATCAAGTGATATGCCCAAGGTGACATAGATGCAGATTCGGGACCTGGAGGTCTTTCTGAAGTACTTTCCTGGGCTGATCCCCCTATCAAGGCCTAAAGCCAGCCCTGGCTCCCTGCTGACCCTTCCAGTCAGCTCCCAGGAAGCTGCTGGGGTAGTGTAAGATGACTTACTCCTTTTCACCACTCAGCTTGGCGATGTATTTCACCTGCTCTCGGAGCTTGTTTCCCAGTTTCTCATTGGCGACCCTGTAATAAAATCACAGGAGAAAAGAGTGGCCAGTTGCCAGCCTCCTGTGAGCAAGGGTGCAGCGGGCTGAATGGGACGCTGGGTTCTCAGCAAGACGGCAGCTGCATCCCAGGCCCCCCATGCATCACCCTGTCCCCAGAGTTGGGGCCTTCCTAGCACCTGGGCATTCAGTGGACTCTCTGAACTCAACTCCTATGCAAAATCCCTGTCAGCCCAGGTGAGTTCAAGGGAATGAGTTAGGGCCAGGCAGTGAAGCTGGATCCCGGGACAGGAGGAGGACATCGGAGCCACAGCAAAGCACTCCTTCCTCCTTGCCGCTGCTGTTTCCAGGTCAGCAGGGCTTTCCAGACCTGCCTGAAGGGTTGAGCCCTCCTCTCCATCTTATTCCCGTCCCTTGGGTGTGGACTGAGACTGGATCTGTTTTCCAGGAGTGCAGGTGTGTGTGTGACTAATCTTTAGCACCCGTGTGGCTCCTCGGCTCAGTCCAGGCCTTGGACCCTGCCTTCCTTTTTCCTCCCATACTCACTTCTGCTGTTTCGCCCATTGCTCCAAGCTGGTCATAATCTGATCGTTCTCTCGGTAGAGGCTACAGGTGTCTTTGGGTACAGACCGCTGGGGCAGGCAGCAGGGCTTGGGTAGAAGAAGAAAACGAGACAGTCAGAGGTGGGAGCACAGGCCTGTCATCCCTCCTTCCGAGTCAGGCCTCTTCTGTCTTCCTGGGAAAAGAAAACTCGACTCTGCTGTCCAACCCGAGGCCAGAGTTGTGGAGTTGCCACCAGGCCTCCCCCTCTGGCTGTGTGGGTGGCATCTCACACAGAGGTGACATTTCTGAGAAGGCACCATTTATAGCAGAGACACAGTAGATTCGTACATTTCGAATCCTGGTTTCCAGTGTGAAGGCATAAAAAAGAAGTATGCTAAGCCGATTTCCTAACAGATGGAAGAAAAACACCTGGAGGAAGAGGAAGAGGTGCCTTCTTTCTCTCTCTTTCTCTCTTTTTTTTTTTTTTTTTTTGACAGTCTTGCCCTGTCATTCAGGCTGGAGTGCAGTGGTGTGATCACAGCTCATGGCAGCTTAACTTCCCCCCGGCTCAAGCTATCCTCCCACTCAGCCTGCCGAGTAGCTGGCACCACAGGCATAGGCCACCATGCCCAGCTAACATTTACACTTATTGTAGAGATGAGGTCTTGCTATGTTGCCCAGGCTGGGCTCAAACTCCTGGACTCAAACAATCCTCCTGCCTTGGCCTCCCAAAACCTAGGGATTGCAGGTGTGAACCACTGTGCCTGGCCTAAGATGCCTTCTTAGTAATTCGAGCAAAGGCCCAGTGACCACCTGAGCTGTCCTGTGGCCTCCTGCCATGAACTTCACTGCTCAGGGAGGTGGGCCTGGGACAAGCCCAGAAGGTCACTTAGCCCATTCTACTGTAGGGTCCAGGGCTGCCAAAAGTGTCAGGATGTACCCAGTGGACTAGGTCAGGGGTAGCTGGTGTACCCGACAGTCTCTTCTCTAGAATGGGGCCTTCATTCTGCTCAGTATCTATCAACAAAGCCACAAGAACATAGGTGGGTTGAACCAGCAGCTGTGGCCCTTGCTTTGTGCTAAATGGAGGGGGTGACCTTTCCTTTGCTCCCAGGCTCCCCCACCCCCACCAAGGGCTGTCCGGCATTTGGGTGGCCACAGGATGTGCCTGAAGGCGTGGAGAGGAGGAACGCAGAAGCTGAGGCATGCCCACCTCCTTATCGTCCTCAAGGAGGTTCTCTTTCAGGGCGGCCATCTCCTCCTGGAACTCCCTGAGCTGCTCCTCTTTGGCTGCCAGCATCTTGAGGTCATTCTGGTGTTGCTTCTGCCACTGCAGCACCTGACAGCTCATCTCCTCTAGCTTCTTGTCGAAGGCGTGCACCTACTCAGGAGAGCAAAGTGAGGAGGGGGACTCCAGCTGGCCTCCCTGACCCCAGGACCCACAACAAGGCCGGAGGGTGCTTCCTGGGCCTTGGGAGATGTGTTGGGGGTATTTTCTTCCCAGCAGCCAGCAGAGGGCACCCATGCTCCGATCTTTGCCGCCTCTGCCTGAAGTTCAGGGAGCCAAGAAAGTGGAAGGAACCTATCAGCCCAAGGGAACGGCTTCATGCTAAATAATTCTGGATGCAAGAGGTGACCTTGTGGACCCCTACGAGGAAGGCAGCCCAAGCCCCGGGCAGCTCCTCACCTCCAGCTCACTCTCCTGGTGGAAGCCCCGCAGTTTTTTTAATTCCATATTGAGCTTTTTCATCCTTTCCTCATAAGCAATGATTTCCTCTTCCAGCTGAGCTTTCTTCTCTTGGGTCTGTGTCAAGCTTCGCTGCAGGCTCTTTGTCTCCGAGGTCACATGATTGAGCTTCCGGAAAAGACAAAGAGGACGAATGGCTATCAGAGCCTTTGGCCCTCTCTGCTGAGTCCTGAATGGAGGAGGGTTCCAGTCCCTTCCTGTCCTCTGCCCAGGGTGAAACAGATGGTCACATTGCTTAGTCTCCCAGAGCGGGGTGGGAAATGACAGTGGTTGGTTTTCTGTACCCTGCTTTCTCCTCCCTACCCACTCCCTCCATTTCTTCCCTTTCCAATCCCATGAATTGATGGGCCGGCCATGATCAGCACAGGATGGGGCGTGAATTTCCCTGACAATCCATACTTTGGGAAAACCTTGCCCCCGAGTCACCCATGGGCAGAAAGGCTTGCCAGATTTGGCCTTGATCTTTGGCCTCTTCCTCCGCCCTCCACCCAGCTCCAAGCCTCACAAAGAGGAAGCAGGCCTTCTCTGCACAGACATCCCAGCCCACACAAGGGTTTGAGATGGCCCCAGTGACAGTCAATAGGCAGGAAATTGGCTCCTGTGCCTCTCCCGCTACCTTGACATTTCCTTGCCTGAAAACAGCCCTGGAGACTAAAGGGTGTGGCCTCACCTTCTCGAGGGCTTGGGTCAGGTCGTCCTGGCAGGCGGCTGACTTCCGGGATAATGCATCATAGGCTTCTTTGGTGATGGTGGTCTGGAGATAGTGCTTCTCCTTCTGCAGAGCTTTGTCCAGCTGGGCCTGCAGGCTCATTAAGGACTCCTTCTGAAGGGCTATCTTTAGGGAGGGAGAACAGAACTGTCAAGGTGCCAGCTCAGGGTCATAGAGGCATTCTCTGTGCCTATAGGAAATGAACAAGAGCTAGACTCTCTCCTGTCTGCAACAACCTGCAGAGTCCGTGTTAACACCCACATCTTCACTTCACTGTTGTAAAAGGTAGAGCTGTCTTTCCAGGCTCTTTTGCAACCCCCGGCCACATTTCCCTTTCTAGTTAGCATTTCCCTCAAACACCAGGAGTACCAGCTGTGCTGGGGCATGATATACCAAGTACACAAAAAAGTCCGTTTCACATACTCTGCAGTCTTTGATAAAGACCTGGAATCCGATTTGAGGTTAGTGAACATGATAACAACGTTTCCTTTGTGTTTTATGACTCACTTAGTTCCTGATGTAATTCACTAGACTTGATGTACCATGAAAGCAGGACTGTGCCTGTGTTTTGTTTCCTGCTGTTTCCCCATTGCTGTAACTCAGGGCATGGCACATGACAGAGGTTCAGGAAATGCTCAGAAATGGTCATTGTTCTGTCACGTGAAATATTGCATTTTTGGAGTTAGGGATCAATTGATCAACATGTTAGGGAACATGTAGTTCTGGTAGAAGTGTGTTTAAAAACTGAAGTCTGTTTTCAACTTCGTAATGAGTATTCATGGTATAGTTAAAAGGAAGTTGAAGTCTGGAGTCAGAAAAATCTGGGTTGAGGTCCAGGTTCTATCATTTACTTATTTCTCCAGCATCAGTTTCTGCTTCCACAAATTGAAATCATTTTGTTTCATGGAGTTTTTATGATGATCAAATGAGGTGATACATGTACAAAGGGCTTTCTTTTACTATACGACTATGAGTTATTGTCATAGACACATAGAGAAACTAGCCACCTTATATACTTTAAATACAGGACAGATATCTGCTTCTGAGTCTGGAAGCTGGAGGGAGACCGCAGAAATTCATATGCCTGACTTGTATTCTTTGGTATTCTAGCACACCTGCATCTGAAAGTGGCCATGAACACAGAAACACATTCTTTTGGGTTTTCTTGTTTTATCTCCAGTAACTGTTCACTGTTTCAAGTTTATTACTTTTTCAGATAGAATTTTGAGTACCTTTGGCCCTGGGAATTAGTGAGATGAAAAGTGGTAGATTGGACTTCTGACGCTGTATTTTACATGCCCTGGTGGTGAAACTATTCCTAAAGATGAAATAATTTGGTCTTCTGAAAACAGAAGTGCATCTTTTCTGGGGGCTTCTGAAAACCATGGAGTCAGCAGGGTCTGCCCAGTAAACCAGAGGAATCACTGGAGAAACTATAATTCATTGTCAGTGCTTGATAAGTGATGGCTGAATGAGAAATGTCAGTATAGAGGTAAGACACTAAAACTGAGGATGGTGAAAAAAAATGACAGTGAAGCTAGAAGCTAAAATGGAAGCTTTAAAAAGTTTTGCTAACATGAGTGGTTTAGCTTGGAGAAAGATTCTAAAAATCTACATATAGAAATATGTGAATTATAGAATCAAGAAGTTCTAGTAAAAGTTCTAATAAAAGACCTACTCTCTCTGCTGTCAATGGTATTAGGTCTAGATGGTTTTATAGGTGAATTTCATGAAGTCTTCACTGATTCCTCACTTTCTCTCATATCCATTCCATCAGCTAGACTGGTGAATTCTAGCTAGACCTCCAAAACACATCCTGAATTTGCTCCCTTCCTTCTTCACTGGACAGAAATTCTAGCCTGGACAGAAATAGCTTCCTAAATGGTCTCTTCACTTCCATACCTACCACTCCCTCCAATCCATTTCCACACAGTAGTCAAAGTTATATTTTGCAAACTTAGATCAAATCACCTCCCCTGTCCCTTTGAGGAAATCCATCAATGGCTTTCTGTTGCTTTTAGAATAAAACCCCAAATTTCTTAACAGAGGCCATAATGTCTGTTCCTGCTTCCTTTCTAATCTCATTATATACCAACGTCTCCCTTGATCAATGCATTCCAATCATACTGATCTTATTTCACTTCTTAGAATGTGCCAAATGTTATATTAAAAGAATGAGACACGATGCACAATCAAGACTCATACTAGGAATGCAAGGGTAGGCCAAAATCGGGATCAATTACTTAATTTTATTCACCACATTATTTATTTAACTCATTTCCCATTTGCCCCAAGAATACTGCACTAGCAGTGAGCTGCAATTTTTTTCTTTCTTTCTTTTTTTTTTTTTTTTTTGAGACGGAGTCTCGTGCTGTGTCACCCAGGCTGGAGTGCAGTGGCGCGATCTCGGCTCACTGAAAGCTCCGCCTCCCAGGTTCACGCCATTCTCCTGCCTCAGCCTCTGAGTAGCTGGGACTACAGGCGCCCGCCACCACGCCCGGCTAGTTTTTTTTGTATTTTTAGTAGAGACGGGGTTTCACCATGTTAGCCAGGATGGTCTCGATCTCCTGACCTCGTGATCCACTTGCCTCGGCCTCCCAAAGTGCTGGGATTACAGGCTTGAGCCACTGCGCCCGGCCAATTTTTTTCTTTTTAAATGGGAAGTGGGTTAAGAAGGTTGATATAATCATCTCAATAATTTTTTTTTAAAAAGCATTTGATAAAATTCAGCATCCATATTAATAAAACTCTTAGTAATGTGAAACTGAAAAAAAAACTGCTAAAGGCAGCAACAAGAAGGCTACAGGGAACATCATACTAAAACAGAGGCATTCCTTTAAGATCCAGAAAAAAATGTCTGCCAACACTGCTGCTGTTGAACATTAAACTGTAGGTACTGTCCAATGCAATAAGGCAAGAAAAATTAAGTAAATATAAATATTGCAAAGAGATATTAGAAAACTGTTGTTGCTTGCAAATAATATAATCATCTACTTAAATCCATGAGAAGTAACTAAAAAACAATTACAACTTATAAGTGAGTTCAATAAAATGTCCAAATACAGACTGAATATGTAAAAAATAAATGAGCTTTCCTATTATTGACAGTAATTAATTTATAAAATACTGTAGAAATATTCTAGAATCAAAGAGATGAAAAAGATATCAAGATATGAAAAGGTATATTGCCTTGGCTTCAAATGGAAAATTTTCAAATTAAAATATGGAATATTAATGAAAGGAAGTGCATTCTAGAAAAATAATCAAAGCTTCTTTCTAATGGCCATTTCAATTAATTAAGTTTTCCTATGTGAAGGATGTTTTTAAAAGTTGAAGATGCTTACACACACACACACACACACACACACACACAAATCCCTTAACTTCCTGATTCTCATTAAAGGTAATCTGAAATTATTGTTTTTACTTTCACATTTACTTGGTTATCTTTCTTTTGGCAAATATGACACTAGGTTCATACTAAACACGTAGGAATCTGAGTATCCCATATATTCATGGAGGTTCCTTAGGGATCTCAGTGACTCAGACTTCAACTCTGGATCACACTCAAGGAGAGATTATTATCTCTGGAGGACAACTCTGAGAACAGTCAGTGCCTTAGGCCTGTGCTGTATAATATAGTAGCCACAAGCCACATGAGGCTATTTACATTTAAATAAGCTTAACATTAATTACAATTACAAATTCAGTTCCTCAGTTATACTGGGGTTCTTTGATTCTAGAATATTTCCACAGTATTTTATAAATTAATTACTGTCAATAATAGGAAAGGGCTGCTTGGCCTTTCATTTGTAGCCCAAGAGACCATCTACCAAGGTATTATATTTTTCTCTTGCCCAGAAAGGTGGAAAGGATTTAGCTGGAGAAAGGATGGCTGCTTATCATGAGGGAGAAAGGGAAGAGGTGTTAGAACTGGATAATTCAGGTTCAAATAGTGGTTCATCCCATCACTTGCTGGTCAGTGACTTTGGCCCTCCATCTTTCTTTCCTCTATCATGTCTCTCTTGTTGGCAGTAGAGCAGATGGAAGCCATGTAAAGAGCTTAAGTGGATGATAAATAAATCATGACTGAATTCAAGCACAGTGCTTAGCGTATGTCAGATGCTATTTACTCCTTTCTGTCATTTTTACTTGTGTAATGAAAAATAACTGTCCCCCCTTTCATCTCCTTTTTGTGCTTCGTGACAAGTTTTGGAAGTGTTCCCTAGCAAATTGCCCCCCAAAATGGATTCATTCAACTCTGGTCTAAAACAGAACATTGGAAGACTTGATGCCAAAGCCCAAATAGCTTGGGGGCTCCACCAGATAAGAGATGAGATCTTCCACATATGGAAGAAACATTTCTCTGGCTCAGCAACCAGGTGCCAACCAGGAGGGAAGTGGAGCTGCAGGTGGCCCAGGATCCACAGTTGGCTGAGCAGTTAGCTGCATTTCTGTGTGGAGGAGAGGTGGGTACAGATTTCAGGTCAAGGGTCACAGGGTTCAAGTTCCTCACTCCCTTGGGGTTCCTGTCTACTCACCTCTTTATTCAAGTCTTGGATGACCTGTTGGCTGGTGTTGTATTTGTTGACAGAGGATTCCAGTTGTGTAGAACAACACTGTAACTCTTCTCGGAGATTCTCATTTTCTTCCTCCAACTTTCTGGAATTCTCTTTCAACTGTTCGCTCATTAAAGAATAAAGCACAGCAAAGAGGTGTTAATCTCAGGTAACTATAAAAGCCCCACTCCATCCTCCCTCTCCCCCAGCTCTATCTCCACCCTGCGGGAGCTCAGGCCTTCTCACTCCCCTCCTCGCTGGCCTTTCCCACTGTCCTTCCTGTCTTTCCTAAGGTCTGAGCATCCATTGCCTCTGCATCCCCCAAGGTCCGGCTGGGGTCATGTCCCACTCTGGATTCCTGACCCAGCTCTCCTGGGATTCTCCCACTCACCGTCTTGTCTTTCTTTTTAAATTCCTGCCGCAGAGCTTCAAGTTCTTCCTCCATCAGCTTCTCACGGTCTTTGCTCTTCTTCAACTGCTCCCGTTTGTCCTCCAGTAGCTTTGTGGCCTCCTGAAGATCATCTTCTAACTTGCATTTGGTGGATTCTTGCTCCCTGTGCTGAAAAAATAAAGACTGAGCTGAAAGACTGTCTTAGACTATATTATATTTTGGGGAAAAATACAGACAATTGCACACAGGGCATGGCTGGAATGAATAAGAAGACAATTCCTTAGTTATATAGCATACGTAAAATAAAAGGTTTCCTCTAATGTCTGCAACATTTTTTCTTTGTTCAGTCAGATATAGCAATTTATTTTATTTATTGATCCAATTCCTAAGCACCGGCTTTCTCTCCTACTTTCTCATCAATTCTTCCCAAAGATTTGGAAGATTCCAAATCTTTATCAAAAACCTTTTTGAATGAAGTTTAAAAAATCTTAGAAGAGCATAAAAAGAGTAATTCAGAGATCAAAGACTTTAAATTGACTGACAATTATCTCCTGCTGCTGGACACTATTTAAAAAATAAATAAATTGACTGATAAGAATAGCTTTTGAGGCCGGGCGCGGTGGCTCAAGCCTGTAATCCCAGCACTTTGGGAGGCCGAGATGGGCGGATCACGAGGTCAGGAGATCGAGACCATCCTGGCTAACACGGTGAAACCCCGTCTCTACTAAGAAATACAAAAAATAGCCGGGCGAGGTGGCGGGCGCCTGTAGTCCCAGCTACTCGGGAGGCTGAGGCCGGAGAATGGCGTGAACCCGGGAGGCGGAGCTTGCAGTGAGCTGAGATCCGGCCACTGCACTCCAGCCTGGGTGCCAGAGCGAGACTCCGTCTCAAAAAAAAAAAAAAAAAAAAAAAAAAAAAAAAAAAAGAATAGCTTTTGAATCCTAGAAAAAACAACATTGTTGTTTGATTAATTTTAAGGTTAACCATTGAAAATGCTTCTCACTGGTAATGGGAGCTGGTGCTGAGAGGCTGGCTTAGCATACTAACACAATTCTGGTCAATTAATTTGCATGGATTGGTAGTGACATCTTCCCAAATAATGTCTGATATATTTAATCTTTTTCCTTTTTTTTGAGACAGGGTCTCACTCTGTCACCTAGGCTGTAGTGCAGTGGTGAGATCATAGCTCATTGAAGCCTCAATCTACCAGGCTTAAGGGATCCTCTCACCTTACCCTCCCAAGTAGCTGGGACTACAGGCATGTGCCATTATGCCCTGATAATGTTTGTATTTTTTTTTTTTGTAAGGTGGGGTCTTGCTATGTTGCCCAGGCTGGTCTGGAACACCTGGGCTCAAGTGATCTGCCTGCCTTGGCCTCCCAAAGAGCTGGGATTACAGGTGTGAGCCACTGCTCCTGGCCTGTGTTTTATCTTAAGCAGAGCAAGCACTTGAATGGGCTGTCTGCCTGCCCGTCACACCTGGTGCTGAATGAGCTTGATACGATCGAGCATGTCATTCATTTTCATATCCTGCTCAGCCACTGTCTTCTGAAGCTGCCTCTTTTCCTTGTCTGAATTTTCAAGCTTCCTCAGGGCTTCAGAGAGTTCTGATGACAGCTCCTCCACCCGTTTTCTAAAGCAAAATAACAGCCACAGGAGGACAGACTTCAGTGCCCATGTGGGCAGATTGCAGAGCTGACCCCATGGGAAGTCCTTGCTTTCCCATGCCTGGGCAGCTGCCCACAGAGGGCCCAGCTGGCTCAAGAGGGACAGAACCTCTCTCTGGAGGTGAGCCTGGGCACCTGTTGCAGGTTTGTTCCTTCTCAGCCATCGAAGACTCCTTCTGCAGCTTCTGAAGTTCTTGCTGTAGTTCCTGGATGGTGTCTGCCTTCTGCTTGTCCAGGAGGAGGCCGTTCTGCAGTTTCCTCTGGGTGTCCTCCAGGTGACAGCCTGCCAGCACAGCCTCTTCTTTGCTCTGGGCTGCTTGCTGAGCTGCGGAAGTGGGGAGATGGCCATGTGAGAAGGGAGGGTGTATGAAGATCACACTCTTATCAGCCTGGCTGAAGAGTTTCTCCTTTCATTTTGTGCTCTACTTCAATTCCCAGTCTGTCTTCATTTCTCTCCATTTCACGATCAGTCCTAAAGAGCCCTATTCAATTATCTGTCTTTGTCTACCCCTCAGCTGTGGACACCTTCTGGACTAAACTTAAACACACTGGTAGAAATTTCTCAGTAACTCATGTGCAACTCATTCTGTCACTGGGGACAAATCCTGACCCTCCTGGAGTTTAGAGGCTCCTGAGGGAGGGTTACCGGCCCACCGTCCTGGAGAACATTGTCATGTTAAACTCACACTGACCGGGTTCAGGAAGAGAGATCCACATGGGCCAGAGCGCTTGGAGATGGATGAGTGGAGAAACAGAAGCTGAGATGTAGCAAAAGAAGTGGGAGGAAGGGAATTCCAGGGGCGGAGATTGTTAGAGCAGATGCCTGGTGAGGAGAATGGGGAAGGTGTGTGGGAGGAGGGTAGAAGACATCAGTTTGACTGGAAAGGGAAGTGGGGAGGAATGGTGGGTGATAGAGTTGAATAAGTGGATGGATGAGCGGGGGCTTTGGAGGACTTTGGAAGCCTAAGAGAAATGCTTAGATGTGATTTAGCGGGTTCTTGAGCAGGAATCTGACATAAAAGAAAAACTGCTTCAGGAAAATTGGAACACATTAGAATAGAGAAAAACTTCCAGCAATATTCTTCTAGCCCATGCCTTTGCTTCCACCGGGTATGAGGGGAAGGCAGTTACAAAGTTAGAGCTGGGGCTTGAAGTTTTGGAGTTACCTGTATTGAGAAAGGGAGCTACACAGAGGAGGGAGCTCACTGAAGAATGAGTAAGAAGGGGAGAGTCTCTAGATGACTACAGTCAAAGCAGGAGAGAAAAGAGAACGATGGGGAGGTTTGTAGTAGAAGGATGGACCTGTGATATCTCCAAAGCTGAGAAACAAGATTTGAGGCATAAGTAGCCAATAGCATCAAGGAACACAGCATTAAAGGAGGGTAAAGAAGGAAGCCAAGCTTGGATCTTATCTTATAAATTGATAAGTAATTCATGTAATATAAATTTAGCATCCCCCCTCCACTTTTTATGAGACAGAGTCTCACTCCATTGCCCAGTCTGGAGTGCACTGGCATAATCTCAGCTCACTGCAACCTTGACCTCTCAGGCTCAAGTGATCCTCCCACCTCAGCCTCCCAAGTAGCTGGAACTACAGGTGCCCACTACCATGCCTGGCTAATTTCTGTGTTTTGTAGAGACAAAGTTTTGCCACATTGCCCAGACTGATCTTGAACTCCTGGGCTCAAGTGATCTGCGCACTTAGGCCTCCAAAAGTGCTGGGATTCTAGGCATGAGCCACCGTGCCTGGCAAATTTACCCTTTAAAAGTATATAATTCAGTGGTTTTCTTGGATACTCACAAAGTCATGCAACCATCATCAATATCTGATTCCAGAACATTTTCATCACCCCCAGAGAAACCCTGTACCTAAGGCAAGAAGTTATTGGTGACCTCTGAGAAAGCAGGCTCTGTGGAGGGACAAGGACATCATCCACAGTACAAGCTGCACAGAACAGAATGTATTTGGGGGCAAAAAGGAGAAAGGGAATAAAAAGCCAGGGAAGGAAGAAGCAAATTATGTGATGAGGGCCTGGAGAAGATGGAGAGGAATGTGGTGCAAAGGACAGAGCCCTGCCTCCCTGTGGCCAGGAAGGCCCAGGGTCTTCAGGCAAGACTGCTGGGAGAATGGTGGGTGGGTGACTCCAGAGGGCAGGTGAGCTTGGGAGTGGGTGAAGGAATACAAGAGGGTGGTGGCCACTGCTGTGAGGTGTAGGATGAGGCCCTGAGAAGGTCTGCAGTGAGACAGAGGGGGCGAGGGAAGTGGCCTCTGGGAGAGAGAAGGTGGCTGCTCTAGGGCTGCTCTAGCCCCACAGAAAAGTGTGGTGGGGACAGCACCTGCGGGGGCCTCACCAGCCAGCCTCTGCTGCTGCTTGGCTTCTTCGAGACTGTTCTTCAGCTTCTGGACCTCAGCCTGTAGGGCCTCGCATTCCACCTCCTTGGACTTGTCCTGCTTAGCCTCCTTGACCGTCATTTCAAGTTCTGTGGCCATGCACTGCTGCTTCTCCAGCTCCTTCTCCTTTTTCAGGAAGCTGTTCTGAGCCTGTGTCAGTTTCTTCTGCAGCTCATGCAGCATCTCATCTTTCTCTTGGAGGAACTGAAGAAAGCAAAATGCAAATGCTGGGAAAGCTCTGAGCGGCGGTGGATGAAGGCACTGAGAGGTTGTCTCAAGCCCTCATCCAAGTCACTGGCATCCCCTGTCTGGACACTGGGCGAACCTCCCTGCCTCCACTCCTGTTCCCCTCAGGCTGTTCTCCACACCGTCGAGAGAGGGAGTCTTTATTCTTATTCTTATTGTTTTTGAGACATAGTCTCTCTCTGTCACCCAGGCTGGACTGCAATGGCATGATCTTGGCTCACTGCAGCCTCCCGTGTTCAAGCCATTTTTCTGCCTCAGCGTCCCAAGTAGTTGGGATTAGAGGCATGCGCCACCACGCCTGGCTAATATTTGTGTTTTTAGTAGAGATGGGGTTTCACCATGTTGGCCAGGCTGGTCTCAAACTCCTGACTTCAAGTGATCCACCTGCCTCAGCCTCCCGAAGTGTTGGGATTACAGGTCTGAGCCACCATGCCTGGCCTTTTATTATCTTAGTTTAGTTTTAGTTTTTGAGGCAGTCTCATTCTGTTGCTCAGGCTGGAGTGCAGTGGCACGACCATAGCTCAATGCAGCTATAACCTCCTAGGCTCAAGCGATCCTCCCATCTCAGCCTCCCTTTACAGCAGGTAGCTAGTCAGGTGTGAGCAGGGCAGGAGAGGGCTCCCCTGCCACATACACCAGGGTTGTTGGGCGACCATCAGGTGATAGTCAGGAGGTTGTTAATTGTCACTCTAAAGTAATAATTGGTCACAGCTGGTGCCAGGGAAAGGCAGGCTCCTAATAGATAGAAAACACCTGAAACTGGTGAGCAGCGGATTCCTGGGTAAGGTCTCAGGAGTTAGGAGAATGGTGAGAAGTAATGCAGGACCCCAGGAGTATATGCAGGCCGAGGCAGGTGGATCACTTGAAGTCAGGAGTTAGAGACCAGCCTGGCCAACACGGTGAAACCCCATCTCATACTAAAAATACAAATATCAGCCAGGCATGGTGGTGGGTACTTGTAATCCCAACTACTTGGGAGGCTGAGGCAGGAGAATCGCTTGAACCTGGGAGGTTGCAGTAAGAAAACCCCAAGTCAAGAGGTCAAACGGCATTCGGTCTCTCAAGTCACCTGCTTGGCCCTCTTCCAAGTGTATTTTCTTTCCTTTCATTAATGCTCTAAGGCTTTTAAAAAAGTTCACTCCTGCCTGCTCTAAAACTTGCCTCAGTCTCTCCTTCTGCCTTCTGTCCCTCAGTCAAATTCTTTCTTCTAAGGAGGCAAGATCTGAGGTTGCTATAGACCCATACGGATAACTACCACCGCTAACATCCTGAGTAGCTGGGACTACAGGGGTGGCCATCACACTTAGCTAGTTTAAACATTCTTTTTGCAGAGATGGGGTCTCACCATGTTGCCCAGGCTGGTTTCAGACTCCTGGGCTCAAGTGATCCTCCTGCCTTGGCCTCCCAAAGTTCTGAGATCACAGGCATGAGCCACTGCGCCCAGCTAGAGGCGGGGATCTTAAAAGTGCAAGTCAGATCTTCTGCCTCAGCTCAAAACCCTCCACCGGCTTCCATCTCTTAGAAAAAGGAGGGAGTCCTTACAATCACCCTATGGTCTGGTCCGAGGCTACCTGTCTGACCTCACCTCTTGCCACCCCCACCCCTCTCTGCTTCCGCTGAGCTCCTGGAACACTCCAAGCAGACCCCACCTCAGGGCCTTTGCACTTGCTATTCCCTCTGCCTGGAATATTCTTCCGCCAGACCTCTGCCTGGGTGGCTCCCTCACTTCGTTCAAATCTCTGCCCCAATGTCACCTTATCAGAGAGGACTTCCCTGATCACTCTGTGTAAAACCGCCACCAAGCTGTCGGAGGGATTTATCAGTGTCTGACGTGGGTATATCAGTATTATATATTAATTTTGTTTACTGGCTGTCTCCCCACACAGGAGTGCAAGCTCCATGAGAGGCGGCATGTTGCAGGTTTTATTATACTCTTAGTGTCTAGGACAGTGCTTGGCATATCTCAGGGCTCAAAAATATTTGTGGAGTGAATATACAAATGACTCAAAGCTGTTTACCCAGACTCTGTGCCTTGTCATCATCTCTCCAAATGCCTCTGTTTTGATGAGCATATCTCCTCTGTGCCTTGAAACAGGAGGTTTTCCTGACCAGCCAGTCTATCAACTGGATGATGATGATGGTGATTATTATTATTTGAGACAGAGTTCACTCTTGTTGCCCAGGCTGGAGTGCAGTGGTGCAATCTTGGCTCACTGTAGCCTCCCCTCCCGGCTTCACGTCATTCTCCTGCCTCAGCCTCCCAAGTAACTGGGATTACAGCTGTGCACCACCATGTCCAACTAATTTTGTGGTTTTTTTGTTTGTTTGTTTGTTTGTTTTAGTAGAGACGGGCTTTCACCATGTTGGTCAGGCTGGTCTTGAACTCCTGACCTCAAGTGATCCACCCGCCTCGGCCTCCCAAAGTGCTGGGATTCCAAGTGTGGGTCACTGCACCCAGCCCTCAGCTGGATTATTTTTAATAGCTCTGACGGAAGTTCAGAGTCGGAATAGTACTGCTTACAAAAGCTTGCATTGGTTTCACAACCTTTCTGTTCTTGGTTCCATTTCTAGGTTTTTCTAAGAACTTGATTTATGTTGGCAGTAACAGTTCTTTTAGGGCACAGCTCCATTAATATTTTCAAACTGCCTATTTACATATTCATAAACTATTTGTAATTTGTAATTTGTTTGTTTGTTTTGAGATAGGGTCTCATTCTAGGTCCAGGCTGGAGTGCATGATCACGACTCAGTGCAGCCTCCACCTCCTGGGCTCAAGGGGCTCACATGATCCTGTGACTTGAGCCTCCCAAGTAACTGGGACTATAGGTGCACACCACCGTGCCCAGATAATTTTTGCATTTTTTTGTAGAGACAGGGTTTCATCATGTTACTCAGGCTGGTCTCAAACTGGGCTCAAGGGATCTCCCCACCTCGGCCTCTTAAAGTGCTGGGATTACAGGCATGAGCTACCATGCCCAGCCAGATATTTGTAATTTTAAAAGTGAAATTCACTTGAAATTCTTAGTAAGGCTACCTATTATTTTATATCATTTCCTTCCACTATCAAGCATAAAAAGAGTATAAGGGAATGATGCAAGTAAGTGTGTCCCAAATGCTCTTGCTACCTTGCGGGGCTTGGGAAAAGTCAGTGCCTCTGTTTTGGTCCCTGCATGATCAGATTCATTTATTATGTATGATGAGAAATACCAAAGAAGTGCTTAGAATTGCACCTGGGCCTGAATAGCCACCATCTCACTGTGCTTATGTTGAGGCTCCCAAAGCAATCACGGTGGGTGAAGGCAGAACTGGTTCCTGCCAGGGCATGGCCTCACACCTGCCCCATTGGGAATCCAACCAGTGTTCCTCATTTTACCTTGTCTTTCTTCAAAGCAAGCTTTTGGGTCTCGGTGAACTCCAGCTGCAGCTCCTGCAGCCGGCACTGCAGGATGGCGATGTCCTTATCCTTCCTCTCAATGTGGGCAGATGTCTCCTCCCGCAGTCGGTGCAGGTCCAGCTCCAGCTTCATCATGTCTACCATGGGGCGGGACAGAGTCAATGCTCAGGGGAGAGCTAGGCTTCCATCTGGCTCCCCTGCCACAGCCTGCCGCCCTGGTTTACCCTTCATGATGTTTTTCTTCTGTTCCGACACGACCTCTAGTTCCATGCGCAGATCCTTCACCAGGTTCTGGTACTCCTCCACATGCAGGCACTGGCTGTCTTTCTGCTCCTGCAAGTGCTTCAGTATCTGGCAGACGGAAGAACAGGGCAGGATGAGGAGATGAGAGAGAATGGAGAATGCTTTCTAAAATGCCCAGCGGCCACACACAACAGTCGGTAGGGACAGAGTAGCAGAGTAACGGTTGCTGGGGGCCAGGGGATGGGTACGTGGAGTGACTGCTGGTATAGGGTTTCTTCTGGGGTGACACAAATGTTCTGGAATTAGGTAGTGGTGATGATTGCCCAATGTTGTGAATATACTAAAAACCAATGGTGAATTTGTCCACTGTATCTCAATTATATATTTTTTAAAAACAGAATAAAACAAAAGGATACTGCAGACTTCTCAGGCTCACACGGAATACACATAAAAGCAGCCATCCCTGTATTCCTTCCTCCCTGAGACAGACAGTTGTTTATGGAGAATCTACTGTGTGCCCGGCACTGTCCTGGGTGCTGGGCATGACTCTGTTAATGTTTTCAAAGCAAATAATGTGGAGCAAAATACACAGACAAATCCTTGTCCCCGCAGAGCTGCCCTAGTGGGTGAGATGAAGAGCATAATAAGTAGTAACTTACAGAAAATGCTAACAGTTGGTAAGTGCTGTGGGGGAAACAGAAGAGTGAAGGGGAATGGAAGGGCATGGGTGGGTGAGGCGCATGTTGTAATTTTAAGTAGGACAATAGGCTGGCCTCCCTGCAAAAATGGCCTCTCAGCTGAGACTTGCTGGAGGTGAGCTTTCAGGCAGGGAGACTAGCCAGAGACAAGGCCTGTGGAGGGAACATGTAGGAGGCAAGCGCGGCTGGCACGGAGCAGGCGATGGGGAGAGCTGGAGGAGGGGTGAGGAGCTGGTGGTCACATCACGTGGGGCTTGGGGCCCTTCTGCAAGGCCTTTGGCTTCTACCCTGAAGGAGAGGGGACTGTCTTCCTCACCAAAAGAAGGCAGGAGCATGTGGCTGGGGAGGAGCAATTCGTTGCCTGGGCATCAGGGATATTGGGGAGAGGACCCAGGAGTGGGCACTGCAGGGACTTAAAGCCCCACACTGTGCCACACTGGCCAATGGGAGGAGAGGCCTGCTGGAAAAAGCTGGCGTGGGTCTCTCGTTGCTAAGCATGAAGGCTTTGGAAAGGAAACATAGCACGATGGGGGAAGGTGTACTCTGCTTCTTGGGGAAGTTTGTATCATTAAAAAAATGGAGTCTTATGAGATTTTTGCTCTAGGTCAGGATGTGAATAACATGTAACTGATCTTTAAAATAAATATTGACAGATGTCCAAGGAAGAATTACAAAGTTCAATATTGATCCCTTGTTCAACCAAGTTTCTGGGATTGGAAAGTCCTGGAAAGAGGACAGTCTCCTCCTCCCCCATAGAGAACCCCTTGGGGAGCTGACGTGTTGTTTATTCCCTCTGCCACCCCACTTCACCCCTATTTCGGCATCAGTCTTGGGGCATGCAGGCATGCCAGCACCTGCCCAGCGTGGCCTCCTGTGGCTGGCTTTGCCAGGTACCAAGTTCAGTCACAGCTGACTTAACAGGACCTCACCTAAGAGGACACCTGGCCATGTTTTAACTCCTGGTTCATCTTTTTTTTTTTGAGATGGAGTCTCATTCTGTGGCCCAGACTGGAGTGCAGTGGTGTGATCTCAGATCACTGCAACCTCGACCTCCTGGGTTCAAGTGATTCTCCTGCCTTAGCCTCCCTAGTAGCTGGGACTACAGGCATGTGCCACCACACCTGGCTAATTTTTGTATTTTTAGTAGAGATGGGGTTTCACGAAGTTGGACAGGTGGGTCTCAAACTCCTGACCTCAAGTGATTTGCTCGCCTTGGCGTCCCAAAGTTCTGGGGTTACTGGCATGAGCCACCACACCTGGCCAATCAATTCTTGCTATTTGTTTACATGGTTTAACTGCTTATTTATTATTAGAATCAACTTTCGATACTGCTTTGAATTTTGCAAACACAGAGTTCTCAAAAAAAAAAAAAAAAAAAAAAAGCAGGGGGAATAAATTTGGATTAATAATCTTTCCTAAATTAGCTACTTTTCAACTCCAGCCAGACACTAGGAGGCTGGATGGTCCTTTTGAAACTAGCAAGGCAACAGAAGTATTCTCTTGTTTAGGTGTACTGTTAGAAGTGGGTTAAGAGACAGGTGCAATTCCAAAACTGAATGCAGCCTGTCTTTGGAGTTTGGTATACATTATACACAGTATCCTTGTGGCAGGGCCAACCAAGGTCACACAGATATAAAATAAAATATAAACAGTCATATAAAAATAAAAAATAAGTAGGAAAGCCCAGAATCAAACCCAGCTCAGCCCGATCCCGGTAGGCACAGATCAGCAAATTTCTCCCACCTTTTTGATGTCTTCACACTCTTCTGAGGAGCTAGGAGGGTATCTGTGGGTAGCTGTATAGGAAGCAAAGTCGGCTTGTAGTTTTATCAAAGCCTCTTCACGCTCCAGAACCTGCAAATAAGCTTAGATCGGTTATGCCGGATGATCAATGAAACATGCTTGTTACCATGATTATTATTTCAGAGTGTTCCTTTCTGTGGCATAAGTTTGTTGCAGAATTATACAATTCATCAGGCATTCCCTGTGGGGTAGGTAGGGAGAAGGAGTTAAGCTCCCCATCTGACATCAAGGTTTTCTAAGGCATATGTGATCTGTCTCAAGTTCATCAATGCCCACACTTGCACTCTCTCCTAAACCTCTGTTTGGTCCATTTGATGAGGCAGAAGAAGGTTCTTCAGGGGCTGTGATGGAGAGATGTACCTAATCTCTCAGAGGACAGGATACAAAGTTTGAGAATTAAAGAAGGAAGTTCCTTATGGAGTGTGTGACTGTGTGTATAATTTCTTTTTTCAAAAATTAAAAAAACACGAAATTTTGGTTTTAATTTTATGCTTTTTTGAATTTGTTGAAAATAATTCAAATAAAACCCAAGCATGGAAAAGTGAAACCCCCTCTTCACTTATTCCCCCCTCTCTTACTTCCACTAAGGGAGAGGACAGTATTGAAAATTCAGTTTGTACTTACATATTAGTATTATCATTAGAGATAAAACAAAAGTAGGACTGAACTATACATGGAATTCTGCAACTTATTCTCGGCAATAAGTCACAAAGCTCCTTCCGTGCAGCTCTTACAGATGTGCTTAGTTGTCTTTACTGGCTGCATATTATTCCACAATAGGGATATCTCTTTAATTATTTCTCTTAATCTCTTTAACCATTTCCCGACTGATGGGCATTTAGGTTGTTGTGTGAGAGATTTTAAGATTCTTTAGAATTTCAAACTACGTAGATGGGGAGAAGCATTATCATGGAGAATATGAACAAAGTGGGAAGGCAAGTATATATCAGACATTTGAGGATTCTTGGTGAAAAAGATTAATTTAGGTGACTCTTTTTCCCTCCTTTCTCTCCCCATGTCTTGATTGAGGGTCTCCCAGAGACATTTCTAGAAGAAGGCACTTACCAAAGCATTACTGCAGGCCAGCTTATTTCGAAGTTCTTGAATGAGATCATCCTGTTCAGAGACCTTTTGCCAGACCTCAGACAGTCGTTTCAGGGTCTCCTGATGCTCTTGAATCATGCAAGGAGCAGTGTATATTCGTACCTTTGAATGATCACCCTTGTTCTCAGGCTCCTGAGAGATTTAAAAATAATGGGTTGGTTTTGTTTATAGTTTGTGAGTTACTTCAGAATTCCACAAGCACGGAAAATCTCTAGACCTATATTCTAAAGGTGTATGTTCATATATGGAAATCATGGTTTCTTTAACAAAAGAAAAAATAGTAACTAGTGCATATACATGGTAAAAAGCCCAAATGGTTCACAAAAGAAGACACTGAAAGATAAGTCTTCCTCCAGCCTAACTATGACTCAGGTCCCCTTCTTGATGACAATCCATGTTACTAGCTTTTTGGATATCATTCAGGAATATTTTATGCATATTTGTATATGCATATACGTATACACATATAACTCTCACTTTTTTTCTTACACAAATGAGTCTTTTTTTTTTTTTTTTTGAGATGGAATCTCACTCTGTCACCCAGGCTGGAGCTCAGTGGCACTATCCTGGCTCACTGCAACCTCAGCCTTCCGGGTTCAAGCGATTCTCCTGCCTCAGCCTCCCAAGTAGTGGGAATTAAAGGGATACGCCACGACGCCAGGCTAATTTTTTTTGTATTTTTTAGTAGAGACGGGGTTTCGCCATGTTGGCCAGGCAGGTCTCAAACTGCTAACCTCAGGTGATTCACCCGCCTCAGTCTCCCAAAGTGCTGGGATTACAGGCCTGAGCTACCACACCCGGCCGACAAATGAGTCTTCTATACAGTATTTAAACTTTGTGTTTTCACTTGACAATTAATTTAAGATCGTTTTCATATTGTTACTTATTGATCTACCTTACTCCTCTTTTAAAACTAATTTCAAATTACACAGGTAATTATATTTATATTGTCTCTCTAAAACATTGTAACACTACAGGCAGATCTGAATTTTTCTTCGACCATCACTTCTAATTTCATTATCTCTTTACTTTCCAGAGATGACAGTCTGTGCATATTCTAGAACTTTATACTATATTTACATAATATAAATGAATCTCTACAATATAAATTATGTTGGGTTTTAAAACATAAAAAATATGTTTTTTTACTCAGCAAGATGTGTTAGAGATTTATCAATGCTAGTACATGTGCTTCTATCTTGTTCTTTTAAATTGCTTTTAAATGTGTGAATCTGGTTTCCTACTGATGAGAATATAGGTTGTTTCCACATTGTTTTTTCTGAAACAAAGCTGAAATGAATACTTTTGCACATAAATCTTTGAGTATTTATTCTGGTAATTGTGTACATTAAATTCATAGAAGTAGGACTCCCAGATCATGTTTAAAATTGGATCTTGTACTATTGTGCTTCAAAGAAATTAACACTTAACACTGTCATCAATATGAGTATGGCTATTTTCCTTGAACCATGTTTGTTTGTTTTTTTTAAAATGTCTTTCCCTAGATCGTTTGAAATCATGCATGAAGGTTACTGCCTTCTTATTGGTTCGCATTTATAAGGGGGTAAATTGATATACATGGTGAAAAAAAAAAATTCTAGTTTGGATGGTCGATCCTTTCCCCATTAAACTTGTCTCCCTAACCGGGCTTTTTCATGCAAAGTTAGGAATACTACATGTTCACTGAGCATGAAAACCCCCCGTGAGCAAGCTGCAGAAAGGCCAGGCAGAAATCTAAAACTGACTGTAAATAATGTTCATGTAGGTAATACAGAGTCTATAGGGGCAAATGACTGGAAAACATAACAGAAAAGCTAACAAGGAAGAAGATATCTACAGCTCCCAATATCTTCTTAATACTATGAGATGAAAAATAGAAATTAATTTAGAAGGAATAGGAGAAATATTCTCTGATGTGAAGAAAAATGTCGATCTTCAGACTAAAAGGGTTAGTGAAGTGTTGAGTGGCTTAACCCCCTGAGCCTAAAAACCTCCAGTGTTCAAAGAGATAAAACAGGTAATCTACGAAAAATGAGAAACACATTGATATCTAACAATGCGTCTCTAATACTGGGTGGTACAAGGAAATGCAGCAGTATCTTCAAAGACTTAAGGGAAGATGCTTTTGAAAGTTTGTATATACAGCCAAACTAGCATTCAAGGATGATGACAAAATAAACCTTGCTCAGACATGGAAATACTGAGAAATTGTGCCACCCACAATTGTTTCTGAAAGAATTAAGAAGGAATTATTTACAGCACAAGGAAAACTGCAAGAATGGAGAAGAGGTGAAGGGAATGCTGAGCACAGTAATGAGAAACAGTTGGGTTTATTTGTAATACTAAAGAAATAGATATTTCCTATGTTATATAAACAGTTCCAGAGATTTAAAAGGAGGTAAAAAGCTTTCCAGCTCATTATATTAGGATGGCATAATCCAGACACCAATATGTGAGGAAAGCACAAACATTTAAGCCATCAAACTAATCTCATTTCTGAAAATGGATGAAAAAAATTAACTTTTAATAAATTTAGTAAAGTTCATTAAAATTATTAATAATGTGTTATGATAAAGTAGAGTTTATTCCAGGAACATAAAGATTGTTACTATATATGATAATCTATTCATGTAATCTGCTTCCTTGAAGGATAGATGCTAATAAAAATATCTGATAAAATTCATCCTTTATTCCTCATAACAATTCTTGATAAGCTAAATATAGAGAGTCATATTTGCAATTTGAGAAAGGAGATTGAAAAGAAGCCAAAAACAGGCATTATACTTAATAGTGAAATACAAGAATTACTTCCTTTAAATTGAGGAGCAAGGCAAAGAGGCTACACAATTCCACATTGCTCTAGAGGTGCTGGTCAATATGATAAGGTGGAAAACAAGTTATGTAAATTTTGAAAGGGAAAGCAATTTAGGAAAATCCAAGACAGTCAAGTGAAAATCTGGTAAGAGAGCTCAGTAAGGTAGCAGGATAAGAGAGAAGTTTTCCTATGTATCAGTAATAATACAATTAGGCCAGGCATGGTGGCTCACACCTGTAATCCCAGTACCTTGGGAGGCTGAGGTGGGCAGATCACTTGAGGTCAGGAGTTCAAGACCCGCCTGGCCAACATGGTGAAACTCTGTCTCTGCAAAAATAACAAAAATTACTTGTCCGTGGTGGCATGTACCTGTAGTCCCAGCTAGTCAGAAGGCTGAGGCAGAAGAATTGCTTGAACCCAGGAGGCGGAGGTTGCAGTGAGCAGAGACTGCCTCACTGCACTCAAGACTGGGTGACAGAGTGAGACTCCATCTCAGAAACAAAAAAAATTGGCTGGGCCTGGTGGCTTACGCCTGTAATCCCAGCACTTTGGGAGGCCAAGGTAGGCGGATCACCTGAAGTCAGGAGTTCGAGGCCAGCCTGACCAACATGGAGAAACACCCGTCTCTACTAAAAATACAAAATTAGCTGGGCCTGGTGGCACATGCTTGTAATCCCAGCTACTTGGGAGTCTGAGGCAGGAGAATTGCTTGAACGTGGGAGGCAGAGGTTGCAGTGAGCTGAGATTGTCCCATTGGACTCCAGCCTGGGCAACAAGAGTGAAACTCCATCTCAAAAAAAAAAAAAAATAATAATTTAATAAAATTAAATGTATAAAAGATCCCATTTATAAAACCAATAACAACTGAAATATGTCTAGGAATAAACATAGCAAGAAATATGTGAGATCTACAGAGAAAAGTACAAAATCTTACTGAAGGATACACAAGAAAACTTGCATAAAAGTAGAAATATGTTATATTCCATAGGGCATGCTAATTTCCCCCAAATTCATACATAATTTGAAAGTCAGTCAACATGAATCTAAATTTCATTAAGAGAAGAAACAAACAAATGGCCAAGAAAAAATGGAAAGTGTAGAAAAGTGAAGGAAGACCTTCAGGATCTATTAAAACAAGCTACCAGTTAAAGTCACTAAAAAACTCTGACACTGGCACAGGAACTGGCAGAAAGATAAAAAGAATACACAATCCAGAGAAGGTCCCGTGTACAGAAGAATCGGTTTGTGAGCTGGTACCTGAACCAGTGTGGAAGGCCTGGGATGTTCAATAAATGGTTTTGGGACTACTGGATATCCATTTAAACAATAAAATTAGAGCCTTATGTCATTATACATATAAAATATATATTCCAGATGGACTAAAGATAAAAACATAAAAATGCAAAATTATAAAAGTGCTAAAGAAAATACACAATAAACTTTTATAATCCTGAAGGCAGTGAAGGCCTTTCTAAGCAAGATATAAAACCTAGAATTTATAAAGGACTGACAGATTCAACTCCATAAAAATTAAAATATTCTGGCATTACATAATGGTAAAGGGATCGATGCAACAAGAAGAGCTAACTATCCTAAATATATATGCACCCAAGAGAGAAGCACCCAGATTCATAAAGCAAGTTCTTAGAGACCTACAAAGAGAGACTTAGACTCCCATACAATAATACTGGGAGACTTTAATACCTCCACTGTCAATATCAGACAGATCAATGAGACAGAAAATTAACAAGGATACCCAGGACTTGAACTCAACTCTGCACCAAGTGGACCTAATAGACATCTACAGAACTCTCCACCCCAAATCAACAGAATATACTTTCTTCTCAGCACATCGCACTTATTCTAAAATTGACCACAAAATTGGAAGTAAAACACTCCTCAGCAAATGTAAAAGAACAGAAATCACAAGAAACTGTCTCTTAGACCACAGTGCAATCAAATTAGAACTCAGGATTAAGAAACTCACTCTAAACCGCACAACTACATGGAAACTGAACAACTTGCTCCTGAATGACTACTGGGTAAGTAACGAAATGAAGGCAGAAATAAAGATGTTCTTTAAAACCAATGAGAACAAAAACACAACATACCAGAATCTCTGGAACACATTTAAAGCAGTGTGTAGAAGGAAATTTATAGCACTAAATCCCACAAGAGAAAGCAAGAAAGATCTAAAATCGACGCCCTAACATCACAATTAAAAGAACTAGAGAAGTAAGAGCAAACAAATTCAAAAGTTAGCAGAAGACAAGAAATAACTAAGATCAGAGCAGAACCGAAGGAGGTAAGAGACACA